ATATTGTGAGGTTAGGTCGAGTCCACACCGGCCCGCAACACTGCCCCCTTCTTAGGTACATGCTCGTCCCGAGATGTATACGGTGAATGAAGGTATTTGCAAAGCTGGCCCCTGGTACATTGCGAAGTCTGGTAGAAATAGCAGTCTACAGTTTTCTCTCTCCCGATCTCAGCTTTGGGTTGTAGCAGCAAACGAGGATCTCGATTCCCGTAAATCTGAACAAGACTTCAATCATGTTCCGGATTGTACGCCAACTCAAACCATCGAGTCCACACGCCAGCTTCGGAATGGCTAATCGTGCAATGTTGTTGTTTAGCAGGGCTTCTCTCAGTTCAATCAGGGTCTTCCATAGATTGAGATAAGTCGGCTTACTCGGGGACCAATCCTTGGTGACCAGGTAGAAGATGTGTCTTGCTTGACCATGTGCATTGTCGGTTAGCCTCAAGACGCTTCCAACCTCTGGATCCTGTCGGCGTAGTTCTCCGACACGCCCAAACTTCTCATTGAACGTCGCAGCGATTCCTCTGGACATCCGCAAATCTCGAGCCACACAATGAGCGAGCGAATAATCAGGAGGCACGGAAAAGAGGTCTCGTTGATCTTCTTTGGTTACACCATAGCGAGCCTTCTCACTGCTGTTGTATCGGGCCATGAAATCGTCAAAGGACATCTCCGAATCAGGGGGATCACGGTCCCAGCACGATCTTCTATTTCGCCTTGGTAGGGGCTCAAACGGTTGAAATGGACTACCCTCGGTTTTTCTTTTGGCAATTTTCTGATACGGTATACGACGTCATTAATCCTATCCATGACTTCGTATGGGCCTTCCCACGAGGATTGTAGCTTCGGAGATAATCCACGACGTCTCTGTGGGTTGTACAGCCACACCAAATTCCCTGGTTGGTATCCCCCATGCTCAGCTTCAATGTCGTAGTGCTCCTTCATTCGGTCACTAGCGCTTTGAATATTTAAGCGGACTCGCTGATGGATGTCGTCCATCCTTTGACGTAGTCTGTGGACATAATCTTCTCCAGCGACATCTTCTCCCAGTCGGCAACCAAACTTCAGATCACAAGGTAGACGCACTTCCCGTCCCATAACGATGCTGGCTGGAGTTTGCCCTGTGGATTCTTGGACGGATGAGCGGTAGGCCAACAGGAACAGGTGAAGGAATTTGTCCCAGTCTCTTTGGTGGTCAGAGACTACTTTGGCCAAATAACGGTTGATGGTTCTGTTCATGCGTTCAACCATCCCATCGGATTGTGGATGTAGAGCCGTCGTCCTGGTCTTGCGGATGTTAAGGACTTCACAGACGCCTTGGAACAGATTGGACTCGAAGTTTCTTCCCTGATCTGAATGCAGCTCCATGGGAACACCAAACCTGCAGATCCATTCCTTAACAAGAGCATCAGCAATCGTGGACGCTTCTTGATTTGGCACCGCGTAGGCCTCTACCCATTTGCTGAAGTAATCCATTACTACCACAATGTATTTGTTGCCATCGTTCGTCTCCGGGAAAGGACCAGCCACGTCGATCGCTATTCGTTCGAAGGGACTACCAACATTGTACTGGCGCATAGGGGCTTTACCACGCTTTTGTGGCCCATTAATGGCTGCGCAAATGTCACATTTCTTACACCAGGCCCTCACATCTTCTTTGCAGTTCACCCAGTAGAACCGTTCACGCAGCTTGCCAAGTGTCTTGGTAACACCAAGATGTCCACCGCTGGTTCCATTGTGAACTTCCGCCAAGACTTCCGGGACCCTCTTCTTTGGAATGACGATCTGCCTTCTCTTCTTGTCCCTCTGGTCTCACAATCACACGGCGAAGTAATCCGTTATCTATACCAATGAATTCCACTGGGACCAGTACGACTTCACGTTCGGCGAATATCTGCAAACTTCCTCCCACGTTGGTCTCTGGTCCGCGTTTTTCCAGTTAATCACCAAGCCCAACTCTGGATCACTGATTTGGTCATTTGCAAGATCTTCGGTTTGCCAACTATCACCAACCACAGTCGTCCTTAAGACTTTCACTTCTTTCTCTTCTTTGTAACGATTTCCCATCTGTCCGCAATTCCAACAGCGAATCGGTCCCCCCTTCTTGCTCATATACTGATCCAGTACTTTCCGCACAATCCTTTCCACTTTGGAATCGTCGGAACTCTCCTCAACAGCCCGTACAAATCCTAGAGACCTAGAGCATTCTTTCGCGGCCTCAAATTCCAGGGCACGTGCTAGGGCATCTCCCAAATGCGTTGGATGAGCTAAAAGAAGTGTTTGCCTTGTCTCGTTGTCACGTAAACCATCAATAAAAGCCTGTACTGTTAAGCGCTCCATAACATTTTCGGGCATAGCAGGGTACGCAAGGCGAACGAGGCGGGCTACGTCGGCTTCAAACTCCTGCAGAGACTCATTTGACTTTTGAATGCGATTTTTTAGCTGGGAATGATAGACATGTTCCAAATGAGCTTGGCCGTACCTCATTTCTAAATGTCGTACCAATTGCTGATAATCTCCCTGTTCCGATGGTGACAATGTCTGCAGGATATCAGTCGCATCTCCTCGCAGTGCGACAGTCAAAGCGGTAGCCTTTTCAGCGATTGTCCATCCGTTCGCTCTCGCAGCGGCCTCAAACTGGCAAAAATAATTGGCCCAAGCGGTTTTTCCGTCAAACATTGGAGGCTTAATAACTGACTTTGAGATATACTTATTTTCGACTAGTTTCGGTGCCTCCGATGTTTCTTGACATTTTGGTGAATTGGCCTTTTCTATTTCTTGTTTTAAAATTTCGACTTTTCTATTTACATCTTCCTCAATCTCCGTTATTTTGTCTTGTAGTTCCGTAGAATTCTTTATAATCTTATTGTTTAAACTTTCTTCTAAATTAAGTATTTTGTCATTGAAACTGGCTTGTAGATCTTTAGAATTTTCTATGATTTTATCCTCTAAAATATTAATTAAATCCTGGGAATTTTCCATAATTTTATCTTTCAAACTGTCTTCTAATTTTTGAGAATTCTCTGTGATTTTATCTTCTAAATTAACTTCCAAGTCAATTATTTTACTATTCAAATTGTCGTTTAAATTGTCTTGTAAATTTTCCAATGACGAGTCAAGGTCACCTTCCAGCTCGAAGTAAAATGTGTCAGGATCCTCACCTTCTTCCACCAAAACGTCTCTCAGTCTAGCTTGCAAAATGCTTTTCTTTCCATCTGTCTCGCACTCTCTCTCTCTTCCAATATGCATTTCAGTTCGGACACTTTCAAGTCTTTCAACAATTTTTTCAGAGCCATGGTCAGTCTTTTTATTCTTCTAGTCTATCACACACGCCACACTTGACACCAATTGTTACGTTTTTCGTCGGTTCCGTGTGGATAGAAAGTCACAATTTATTTAAACACTATTTATTTAACACTAATTAACAAAACTAATAACGATAAACGACTTATAGAACTATTTACAAACGATTTATAACTAAGAATTTATTTTTAATTTTAGCGCGTCAACTGTATATTTATAACTGGACTGTAGGCCACGGCCGCCGGCTTTTATACCGGCAGGTAAAGAACTCTAGAATTGTCCATAGATCGTTAGGTGCGTAGAGAAGGTTTTCGAATGTTCTCGTATGTACTCGTCCATTCCAGTGGGACTCGATTCTTCTCGAACGAATGAATCATTGCGGTGTCTATGCGATGTTAAGGTCATCCGAGGGCGGGCCATATTGTGAGGTTAGGTCGAGTCCACACCGGCCCGCAACATTAATATGCCGATTGAATCTAGACTGCCATCGCTATATTAAAAACACTAATTCTTAATCAAGGGGCCTTGGAAAAATAGTTTTTATCGTCTAATGTTTTTAGTGTCTTGTCCTGACCACTTAAAAGATGCCCAAATCGTATTTTTAATCATATCTCAATTTTTTTAAATGAAACGAGGGAGATGATGAAAATAATTTTTGATACCACACACTTGGTATTTCGAGTCAAATTTTCGTTATAAACCTAACATAAACCCAACCCAACCGCATGTTATAATTTCAAATAAACCATATGCGAAAATGTCAAAAGTTGACATATTATGATATGTCATTATATTCAGAGTGTTATTTTCTATCGAATAAAGTAAAAAAATACCGAGGGTGCCATTTAAAAATCAACAAGTTGTAGTCATTTCCGGTGAAACAGGAAGTGACCGAAAATAACTGAATTCGTCAATCAATACTAATTTATATCGTGTGCTAACATACCAAATCTCGTTTTTTTTTAATGAAAAAATAAAAAATTATAGGGGTGAGCCACTTTTGAGACGCACTATCTGTGATATTGCATGGAGGACGCACGACTGCGATGTTACTATGTAATTACCTATTTTTATTGTAGTTTGTGTATGATTTTTTTCTACTTTTTTGTGTCTGTTTTGCTGTTTTATCACTCAGCTTAAAATACCATACGATCGAAAAAAAAAACGTAGTTAAAGATGGCTGGGGAATGACAATCAATCATGCACTTCATATCATCACAATCATAATTTTAGCGAGGTCAAGCCCTACGCAGCATTTACTTTGGTCTAGGATTGGAACTTTGGATTTAGTTATGGTCAATTTTTGACAAGTATTATATCAATTTGTAGTAAATGATGTCTAGAGATTGACCTCGCCAAAATTATCATCGATTGGCATTCCCAAAACGCCTTTGACGCTGTTTTTTTTTCGATCATGTGGGATTTATGTTGGTGCTTATTGTATCATGTCCAATTGCCTCAATCTAAATTTTGATTTGTCTTTGTGACTGTTAATGTCCAGGGACTAGTTGTGAAACGCAGTGTAGAGTAATCCCTATAATTGCTTGATTGCTCTCCGAGCCTACATGGAAATAATAAAAAACCACTGTCCATGACTAATGATCCTGGTGATCGATGCCAAGAGAAAAAAATAATTATAATTTTATTATAATTAGGTCGAAATGATAATAAAAAATATATTTTTTGTTAATTTCCAGATAGATCATGGAGTCCCACTTAGAACACAGAGATAGAGTGGGGGTCCAAGATGCAGTCTTGCTTGAAGATTACACCAACGAAAAAGCTTTTATCGAAAATTTACAAAAACGATTCAACGAAGATGTTATATACGTAAGTAGGTCCTATATTAAGTTTGCTACTTTTAAGTGTCCCCGGATTGTATTTTCAAGAGTTTATACTATTCCAAATTTCCATACCGTTTTAGAGAAAACTAAAGAAAACATGAAAATATGGTTGAATTTTTTCTATTTGGCATATAAGGTAATATAATTTCGATTTCATTCTTTAATAGATGGTTATTATTAATTTTGATTAACGTCATATTTTTCAGTGTTGTTAAAGTATAATATTTTCCAATAACTATCATTACCCTTACTGTAGCATTGAACTATATACATTTTGTGCTTTTTTAATATTTTAAAACAGCAAAAAATATGACTTTAATTATAATTCTATTAATCACAATCTATCATCAATCTATCAAAGAATGAAAATGAAATTATATTACCATAGAAACGCGTTTTAATTTTTAGGATTTTTAGGAAAAATTCTATTATATTTTCATGTTAAAAATTTTCTTTAAAACGGTATGGAAATTTGGAAAAGTAAAAACGGAATTAACCATTTTAGAACAAGCAAAATTTTTTATAGAGAATGCATTTTTCTCAAAATGTTAATAATAAAAATGTACTTCCTCTTGTAAAGACAATCCGGGGACATACTGTATAAAAAAGTTATAGAATTTTAGACAGAATAAAAAAATAAAATAAAAAAAAACAAACTTTTTTCAGACATACATTGGTCCAGTACTTATTAGCGTTAACCCATACAAAGAACTTAATATTTATAGCCCGCAAGATGTCAAAGGTTACGAAAATAAGCATTTTTTTGAAGTTCCTCCACACGTGTAAGTATATAAACAGATATATCAGGTCAAATAAGAATCTCAACATTGATTCCAAAAGCTTTTTTATCCACATTCACACAATAATGGAAGTTTTATCCAATTATATGAAGCGGTTAAGATATTTTATCTTTATAGGATAAAATAACTTTATTCCCCACTGGTGGAAGTTGCCTCTTGAATTTCTGCAAAAATTGCTGAGGGAATGCCATCATCATCGTTGCATTTTTCTATGGTTTTTAAAAAACCTTTGCAAATTCTTATGACGAAAGATCCGAGTCATCCGAGTCTTGCTTTTGTGAAGCTTTTGTTTTTATCAATACTAAACAACATAGTTATCATAACAACAAACACTATCTTTAATTCGATTTTTAAAAATAAAGTTTGTAGTCTGGTCGAAGGAGGCCTATTTTTTATGATTCTAAATAATTTTTAAAATGTTAACGTTGAAATTAAGCGTGAAAAAAAAGCTTCGAAAATTTTGGCGTTTGGTCGCTACATTAAATTAATTATACCAGCAGAAAAAAAATAAAGGTGTAAATAAAAATAAGGTGTTTCCTCTCGGAAACGGTAATTAGCTAAACGACCAGTGAAGCCTCTACAGATAGAGCCAGTGGGGCTCTATGTATCGCCCCATTTAGACTGTGTGTCGAAAATGCACGGCGGAATTAAATTCCTCCGAGATATTTAATTTGAAAGATTTCGATTGTCGATTTAAAAAAAATCGAATTTTTTATTTATTAACTTTTTCCACTCTTCTCGCCTAGTGCCAGCAGAAGACGTTAATTTAAGAATTCTAAATGCAATTTGACCCCCGTTTTAGGTTATGTTTTATTTAAAAAAATGCAAAATTGAAAAAATCGGTTCTCATTTTTTTATGTAATTTTTTGGCAAACTGTGGATACTAAAAAAAGTTAACTAATCGATCTGCATCGATCAACGCCCAAAAATCTTTCAAATCGGAATAAGTGAAAACAGCTCGATTTTGGCTAGGAAAATTTTTGGAAAATTTCGAAACACTTTAAATGAGGCGATTAAATGGCTCCAATAGATCTATCCATACAGGCCTCACTGGTTGTTTAGCAGTTTACCGTTTCTGAGATATTTACGTTTTTCAATATTGGGAAAATTGAACTCTAAATCGTTTTGTACGAGTCCTTATGAAAATCTAAGAAACCAAAAATAGGCCATATGAGGGCGCCATCCAGTAGTCGTCTATCCGACGGTGCATAAATGGTTTCTTTAAATTGAAGGGTTTGGTAGATTATTCTAAAAAAAAAGTTGAAAAAACTAAATTTCCAAAAATTTTCTCGGCCAAAATCGAGCTTTTTCACTTATTCCAATTTTTGGGCGTGGATCGATGCAGATCGATTAGTTAAATTTTTTAGTATACACAGTTTGTCAAGTACATAAAATAAGGTACATAAAAAGAGGGCCAAATTGCATTTAAAATTCTTACATTAACGTCTTCTAACCGTACCAGATGAGAAAAGTGGAAAAAGTTTATAATAAATAATAAATTCGATTTTTTTTCAAAGGAAAATCCAGAAAATTGACAATCGAAATATTTCAAATTAAATATCTCGGAAACTGTGCATTTTCAAAACACCGTTTAAATAGAGCGAATATAGAGCTCGACCCGTTCTATCCGTAGAGGTCTTACTGGTCGTTTTGTTACTTACCGTTTCCGAGAGGAAAGATCTTATTTTTTTTTATTTACATCACCTTTATCTTTTTTTCTGCTGGTGTAATTTAATGTAGCAGTCAAACGCCAAAATTTTCGAACTGACTTCCACGCTTAATTTCAACGATAACACCTTAAAAATTATTTAAAATCATAAAAAGGCCAAACCAAACCAAAAACCCACGGAATTTAATATTTCGATCGGACTATTGTGGTACTAATTTTTACTATAAAATTTGTAAAATTCTAATTAAATATACAGGGTGGTCCGAATTGTATTCGGGAGACTTCGGCAGCATATTTTGCAATAGAAAATAGTTAAAAAAGTTTGTATGTATAAATTTATCTCCTAAAATGCTTCATTTCGGAGATACACGCTGAAGAAGCTTCATATTTATTTCGGGGTTTTCCAATTCGGGGTTTAATTTCTGAATGTCAACATTTTGTTCAATTTTTGTCAATGATGACATATATTCATTATTTCGATTCCAAATATCTGGAGAACCATTACCCGTAGCGATTTCTACCAAAAGACCTTTTTTACATAAAAACGGCGGAAATGTATTTTTTAACTCATTGCAAATCTTAACTCAATTATGACGCATTTTTACCAAACCACACCACGTACATTTATACGTACTTTTCTACTCATCTTTATCTGCAGAATAAGCTAGCGAAGTTTCTCAATAGATTTCGGACCACCCTGTATACATATGTTTGTGGATAAAACATTGCATTCCCGTATAAATATTCTCGCGTGGATAAAATGTCCCCCTAAAACATTTATATAATAATAACTAATGAAGAAAGTATATTTTTTTAAGGTTTGCTATAACAGACACAGCATATCGATCTCTACACGAAGAACACAGGGAGCAGTGTATATTAATTTCAGGTAAAATATTAAGAACCAAAAAATATGAGAATTATTTACAAAAAAAATCCCAACAGGTGAGTCCGGTTCTGGAAAGACTGAAGCGTCAAAAAAAGTTCTTCAATACATCGCCGAAGTGACTGAAAGAAAGGGCGAAATAGAAACAATAAGGGATAAACTTTTGGTATCGAATCCAGTTCTGGAAGCATTTGGAAATGCTAAAACCAACAGAAACGATAACTCGAGTAGGTTCGGGAAGTTTATGGATATCCAATTTAATTTCGAAGTAAGTAGAGATTATTGAATAAATAATATTCAGTTAAGAAGGAACATATTATATAAACAAAATTAGCACAACTGCGAAGGTGCTTTAATATGACGTTCTCAGTTATTTTAAATGTGCGTTTTAGAAAATAAAGTTGGTTAGACTCAATAATTTGCGGATTTTGTTATTAGTTTGCATCAATAAACATTTATTTTAAACTTTTCTCCCTTCAGATTTTGTTAGTTCATAGTTATTAATTAGTGGGTCGATTTAGATATTTTTTTAAGAAATATACCGAGTGGTCCGAACTGTATTCCGGAAACTTCGGCAGCATATTCTGCAGATAAAAATAAGTAGAAAACTTTGTATAAATGTATGTCCTAAAATGCTTAGTTTTGGAGATATAGGGAGTTGAAATTTCTTTTTTGTTTCGATTTTTTCAAAATAATTTCTGAAGTAACATCAATATTTGGATAAAAAAATTGTGTCTGGAAGTTTCTTGACGTGAGAAATTTGATTTTGATGTCAATATGACTCCTATTTGTAGAGGGCGCCACCTACATATTTTTAACTGGTTTGAAAAGTTATAACTTTTCGTCCGTACCCGTATGAAACAACTGAGTAAAAAAAGTCTCTCGGTAAAAATCGATATGAGTATGGTTCTCGAGATATTTGGAATCGAAATTATCAGTACCTATCATCATTGACATAAATAATGAAACATGTTGACTAAATAGTTATTAGACTGAAATCATAAATTTGAAATGTTTTTGTGTCAAGAGTTTAACAGAAATTGTTTTATCATCAATTTTTGGCAGAAAATTTATGATTAATTTAAAAAAATAAAAATTTCCCAAATTTATTATTGCACTCTAAATATCTTGAGAACAGTTGCTCGTAGCGATTTTTACCAAGATATATTTTTTACGTAAAAAGTCACGGAAATGTATATTTTTTTACTCAGTAGTTTTTTGTACAGGTACGGACGAAAAGTTATTACCCTTGAAAACAGTTAAAACACATGTAGGTGGCGCCCCCTAAAAATAGGATTCATATTGGCATCGAAATCAAATTTCTCATGTCAAAAAAGTTCCCAGACACCAATTTTCATCCAAATATTGACCTTACTTCAGAAATTGTTAGGAAAAAAATCGAAATAAAAATGAAACTACACCCTGTATGTATGAAACTAAGCATTTTAGGACATACATTTATACGAACTTTTTTACTCTTTTTTATCTGCAGAATATGCTGCCGCAGTTTCCGGAATACAGTTCAGACCACCCTGTATAGTTAAATTCTTTGACTTTTAACTTCTTTTTAAATTAAAAATTATAGGAACAGAAACAAAATAAGACGATTGGCAGCAATTTTAGCATTAAAAGCATGCCTTTGCTTTACGTCCTCATCAACAAACCTATGAAAGAGAGGTTATTGTTTTTATAATGTCACTGTCATTGAATAAGCATACTACTATTATTGCTTGTTGGCAGTTACTCTAAATCCAGAAGTTGTATCGGCTATATTGTTGCTTTAATTGAAAGAGATGCACAAGTAACTATTTTTGTAGCTACTTTCTAAAATTTACAAAAATCCCAGTGTAATCCCTGAAACAATGTTTTTTCCAGATTTGTACATTTTTCATAAAGCCAATCACAAAATAAACAAAAAGTAATATAAAATAAACCTAAAAAAGCAAAACAAATCCCAAAATCCCAAACTACCAAATACATATCAAATTTTTCAAGAGAAAAATATTCTTCAAAATGTCTTTAATGCATATATACCGGGTGCGTCTCAAAAGTGGCTCACCCCTATAACTTTTTTATTATTTGAGATAAAACAACGAGATTTTGTATGTGATAAATTAGTTAAATTAGGATTTATTGACATATTCAATTGTTTTCGGTCACTTCCGGTTTCAACGTAAATTACTACAACTATTGATTTTTAAGTGGCACTCTTTAATTTTTTTACTTTATTCGATAGAAAATGATACTCTGAATAGAATGACATATCATATGTCAACTTTTGACATTTTCTTTATGGTTTATTTGAAATTGTATTATGAGGTTCACAACGACAATTTGACTCGAAATACCAAATGTGTGGTATCAAATTATTCGTAAAAAATGCTTTTTCCATATGCTGATAAGCTACCCTCGTCCCATTCGAAAAAATTGAGATATTATTAAAAATACGACTTGGTCTTCTTTTAACCGGCCGGGACAAGACACTAAACATTAGACGATCAAATCTATTTTTCCGAGGCTCCTTGATTAAAAATTAGTGTTTTTACACAGCAATGGCACGCTAGATTGAAATTTAAAATACAATTTGTTTTGAAGCGAATATGTTGTGAGTGTCATTTTCTATTGAATAAAGTAAAAAATACCGATGGTGCAATTTAAAAATCAAAAGTTGTAGTAATTTCCGGTGAAACAGAAAGTGACCGAAAAGAATTAAATACGTCAATCAATCCTAATTTATGTTATATACTAACATACCATCTCGTTTTTTTATATGAAAAAATAAAAAAGATATAGGGGGTGAGCCACTTTTGAGACGCACCCGGTATAAAACAAGAACTTCCTTAATATTTTTATTCAGTGATTGTTAGTAAATATTTTAGTGCAACTGAAATACTTGAATTTATATATTAATAACTATTAATTACCGGGTGATTTTCAGAAATGGCTCACCCCTATAACTTTTTTTATTTTTTCAGATAAAAAAACAAGATTTTGTATATTAGTAAATGCAATAAATAAGAATTGATTGATGTATTCAATTGGTTTCGCTCGCTTCCTGTTCACCGGAAATTACTACAAATTCTGATTTTTAAATGGCACTTTGTAAGTTTTTTATTTTATTTAGTAGAAAATAACATTCTGAATAGAATGACATATCATATACCAACTTTTGATATTTTCAATAATTAAAAAAATAGCTGAAAAATAGCATTATAAATTTATGTAAAGCCATTGCCATAAATGTAACGATAATTTGACTCGAAATACGAAATATGTTGTTACCAAATAATCCGTAATTTTTTGTCAAATATGCTAATGGCCCACCCTCGTTCCATTTGAAAAAATTGAGCTATGATTAAAATTACGATTTGGGCATCTTTTAACCGACCACGAACCGACACGAAAAACATTAGAGGATCAAAACTATTTTTCCAAAGCTCCTTGATTAAAAATTAATGGTTATAACTATTCTAGATTGACATTTAAAATGCTATTTCTTTAAATGGAAATATTAAAAGTTGACATAAAATATGTCATTCTTTTTAGAATGCCATTAGAGTGTCATATATGAATAAAGTAAAAAAATACCGATGGTACCATTTAAATATCAAAGGTTGTAGTTATTTCCTGTGAAACAAGAAGTGACAAAAAGTAATTGAATATGTCAATCAGTCCCGATTTATGTCATATACCAATACACGACATTTCGTTTTATTATAGGAAAAAATAAAAAAGTTCTAGGGCTGAGCCACTTTTAAGAAACACCCGGTATAAACCAAAACGTAAATTTTGTCTAGAGTCGATGTATAATTTCGGATACAAATTCAAATAAAATTAAGTTAAAAATATGTTTACCTAATAAAAACATTATTTTCTAGGGTAGTCCTGTAGGTGGAAATATCCTTAATTACCTTCTGGAAAAATCCAGGGTAATCAGTCAATCTCCTGGAGAAAGAAATTTCCACATTTTCTACCAGCTTTTAGATGGAGGCACTGACGAACAGTTAAACAAATTAAACTTAAAAAAGGATTTCAATTCTTATTATTACTTATCACACGGGGTAAGTTTCTATAACTTTAAATATTTTGCATAATATTTCTTCAAAATATTTCTAGGATAAGGCACATAATTTTAAAAGAGAAGATAAGAAAAATTTTCGAGAAGTCGAAAGTGCCCTGTCAACTTTGGAGTTCACCCCCCAGGAACAGGACGACATATTTTTCATTATTTCAGCAATTTTACATTTAGGAAACGTCGGATTTACAGAGGCTGAGAATAAGGCTGTTATTGTTAAGCCCGAATTAGTTGATAACATTGCAAACGTAAGTAAAATATGATAAAAAAAGTGTTATTATAAATTTGCTTTGTGAGAATTTTTTTTTGCAAAGTGGGATGTTTTATAATATACATGGGATGCTTTCTATATACATATTCTTTATCAGTGATTATTGCAATTTTCCGCCTGGAGTAAAGTACAGGGTGTCCCATTTTAGTTGAAATCATACGGTAAATTAGTGAAGATAGAAGGGTGCGATTTGCACAAAATTGGCATAGCCCTCTTCGTTTCTGAGCTACAGGATCTTTTTGAAACTTTTGCAATTTGGGACAACCCCTGTATCTCTGTTATTGTTAAAGCTATCGAGAAGGTGAAAAGTGTTTATTGCAGAACTTTTTACCTAGAATACAGTGGCGTAGTCTGTTATTTTACGAAAAGAATATTTTTAAAGATATGAACTAAAGTTATGTTTTCTTAAATGGGACACCATGTATATTTATAAATTATATGATCTGGCTTACCGTCAGCTTCTCAAAAATATATATCACTCTATATTTATTTTTACTATTTACTGCAATATTTAAAGGTATTTATTAAAAAGTCACATTTATTAGTAGGCCATGATTGATAATAAAAGAAACTAAAGAATTACTAAAAGTATACTGCTATCTGTCTCTATTTTTATTTTGGGAGCCACTAATAATTTTTTTATACAGGGTGGCGCCTCTCATACGCCGCGGAGGCTCCAAGGAGAACGACAGTTTGTATTCAAATGAAATTCTGTGAGCATATGTAGGTTAATTCAGAGCACTTTTTAAAAATATAGAGAGTTCTACAGGGTGTCTCCAAAAAAAGTTACATATCAAAGTTGTGTTTTTTGTAATGGAACACCCTATATATTAATTGATTTTCGGATTCGGGAAGAAAAATAAAGGTGGGTTTTATAAGAGAAGTATACGACTAAAATGCAAGGTTTTTGACATATTTAACAATAAAGAACAATTTTTAAATTACAATAAAAACTACCTAAATTGGAATTTACCCGGTATAGCCTTAATATGTAGTTAAATTAACTATTGTACTTTAAATCAAATTAAAACTTGATTCAAAAAGTTATACAGGGTGAGACAAAATTAATATTGAACTCTCTTATTTTAAATGGAACACCCAGTATATTATTCCGATATTCAATGGAGAATTCATGTCTCTTCAAAATACTATTAAGATTGCCTACCCCTCAAACAAAGATTTTCCTAGATATTTTCATTTACATGATTTGATCTGAGTAAATCTTTATTATTTGATAAAATCTAGATGGCTGTGATATGTCTGACGATACTTCAATATAGCTGTCTAATTAGTCCAACTTTAACAACTAGTTATCATTTTGTGTCAGTTAAAACAAAAAAAATTCTCAGAAATTTGCCGACAATGCAAACTTATCCTACATCAGAGACAAGTGATATGATTCTATTAGTTGGTGAATGAATGAACCAATTAATAGAATACTTAAATGCTCCTGATTTTATCTAGTCTGTTTTTTTTATGCGGATATGTTAAAGACAATGTTTACAAAACTCGACCAACTAGTGTCGACAACATAAGAGAAATTATTGTAGCTTTTCGAGGTAGAACTTCACATATGCCTTTTAAAATGAAAAGATCCTTTTGAAAAGACAATCATTTTATGCAGTTTGGTTTGGTTTGGTTTGAAACAAGAGAGGAATCATTTTGTGCATTTGATTTCATCTAGCTAATTTTTGTCGCATAATTATAAGTTTATATCTAGTTTTAATTCTGTAATAATTAAAATGTTTTAAACGTGTATCTTTTTATTACCCATGAGTATTTTACTCTACAATCTTTAATTTTTGTTAAGTTAACAAAAGGTATGCCACACAGCCACCTAGATTTTTTCAAATAATAAAGATTTACTGACGCAAAATCATAAAAATTAAAATATCTGGGAAAATCTATGTCTGAGAGGTAGGCAACTTTATAATATTTTGAAGATATATAAATTCCCCATTGAACACCGAAAAAATATACTGGGTGTTCCATTTAAAATAAAGGAGTAACTTGCTTTTAAATGTGACTAATGTTCCATATTAATTTTGTCTCCCCCTGTATAACTTTTCTGGTCAAATTTCAATTTAATTTAACATACAATGGTTCTTCTTCTTCTTATCACGCCCTCTCCTGCCGAAGGTTGGCGATCCAAATGGCAATTGTGGCTCTGGAAACTGCAGCCCGGAAGATTTCCGCAGACGAGCGTTCAAACCATCTCCTCAAATCTTTTAGCCATGAGTTGAAAAAATATACTGGGTGTTCCATTTAAAATAAAGGAGTAACTTGCTTTTAAATGTGACTAATGTTCCATATTAATTTTGTCTCCCCCTGTATAACTTTTCGGGCCAAATTTCAATTTGATTTAACATACAATGGTTACTGTAATTAAATATCAGGCTATACAAGGTCAACTAAAATTTAGGTAGCTGTTATCAAAATATCAAATTTACTCTTCATTTTCACAAAATGTGCAATATGTCAAAATCCTTAGATTTTAGGTATATGCTTCTTTAATAAAACTCACCTTTATTTTTTTCCTAGAATCCGAAAATCAATTATTATATAGGGTGTTCCATTAGAAAAAACACAACTTTGATGTGTAACTTTTTTTGGGGACATCCTGTATAATTCTATATATTTTTATAAAATGCTTTCAGTTAACCTACATACGCTGCAAAAATTTCATTTCGATATAAACTACCGTTCTCCTTGGAGCTTCCGCGGCGTATGAGAGGCGCCACCCTGTATATTAGGAAAACTTAACTCTTTACCGCTATTTGTAAATCTTGGAAGGCATCGTACCGGAAATTTTAGATATTCCTTAGCTAATTTCCGTGCAATATACTTTCAGCAAGATAGGGCTTCCCCTCACAACTTTGAAAATATTAGAAACTTTTTAAATTATTATTTCTCAATTCGATGAATTGGAACCAATGAACCCATAGGATGGCTTCTCGATTTCTGATTTTGGGTATTTTTGAAATATGAAATATATCGTAGCAACTACAACAATGTCGAACATCTGAAAAATGCTTTAATAATGCAAACTTATAGATATTTGCAAAAACATCCCGCTATAATAAATTTCGTTGTAAAAAAAAAGAAAAATATATTCACAGATTCAGTGGTAACAGTTCAAAAGTAAAATATACCTATCATTCCCAAATAAAATTTTAATATGTGTATGACGGCCTACTAATAAGAAAATGATATATATTTTAAATATTATAGTAAATAGTCAAAATAAACATAGAGTGACATATATTTTTGAGAAGCTCATAGCAAGACAGTTCATATTTCCATTTCAGTTCCATTTGAAAAAACATAATTTTAGTTCATATCTTTAAAAATATATTATTTTCGTATGATAACAGACTACGCCACTGTATTCTACGCAAAAAGTCAATAAAAAGATCGTCCTTATCTTTATATCACTTTCATTGCAACAAATAGACATTAAATATTATAAATGTAACTAAATATAAAATACGTGCATCATAATGTAAACGCTGTAATCATCATTAATCATCAATCCTTTTTATATAACGCCTCACTTAATAATTCAGTAAGGTCAGCATGCAATAATTGTTTCGTTTAATGATTTTGCCTGGTTATACGTCTTTAAATTATTTGTTACTTATTAATTGTTACTTTTTAAAGCTCTATAAATAACTTCAATTCGAATAAATGGCCTAAAAGAAGGCCATTTATTATTTATGTTTGTTCGGAATTTCTAATTAAAAACAGAAAATTGTGGTTTTTTTAATTAGTATCTTTCAATAGATAATTATTAATAGTTCATTGACAAGAAAAAAAACTTCAAGGATACAATAAAAAAATTGACAAAATATTAAGTATTTCGGATTCACCGGTCAAACCAAACCTAGACCTAGACTAAAAGTTCTTCAAAAGATGACTCAGATCTCAGATTAGATCAGATTTGTTGAGATGGCTGTTGTCGTTGATATACAGGGTGGTACGAATTGTATTCCGGAAACTTCGGCAGCATATTCTGCACATAAAAATCTGTAAAAAAAGTTGAAAAATGCTTAGTGTCCAAGATACGGGGTGTAGAAGTTTCATTTTTATTTCGAGATTTTTTCCAAATAATTTATGAAGTAACGTCAATATTTGGATGAAAATTGGTGTCTAAGAGTTTTTTGACGTGAGAAATTCGATTTTGATGTCAATATGACTGCTACTTGTAGAAAGCATTTCCATATTTTTTAAATGGTCTGAAGAGTAATAACTTTTCGTCCGTACCTGTATAAAACTAGTGAGTAAGAAAATATACATTTACGGAGTTTTTTACGTAAAAAAGGTCTCTTGATACAAATCGCTAAGAGTAATGGTTCTCGAGATATTTGGAATCGAAACTATCAATACCTGTCATCATTAACATAAATTAAACATGTTGACTAAATAGTTATGAGACTAAAATCATAAATTTGAAATGTTTTTGTGCTAAAAGTTCAAAAGAAACTGGTTTATCATCATTTTTTCGAAAGAAAAATTATGATTAATTAAAAAAAATACAGTTTCCAAATTTATCTCATTGAAACTATCTACTCAACATGTTTATTTTTTGTCAATAATGACATGTATTGACTATTTCCATTCTAAACATCTTGAGAACGGTTGCTCGTAACGATTTTAAATAAGACACATTTTCTACAAAAAAAATCTATTTTTTTTTCACTCAGTAGTTTTATACAGGTACGGAAGAAAAGTTATTACTCTTCAAAACAGTTAAATCACATGCTCCCTACAAATAGGAGTCATATTCACATCAAAATCCAAAATTCTCATGTCAAAAAACTTCCAGACACCAATTTTCATCCAAATATTGACATTACTTCAGAAACTATTTGGAAAAAAATCGAAATGAAAATGAAACTTCTACACCACATTAATACTACATTACATTAATTAATCATAAATTTTTCTTCGAAAAAATGATGATAAAACAGTTTCTGTTGAACTTTTGGCACTAAAATATTTCAAATTTCAGATTTCAGTCTAATAACTATTTAGTCAACATGTTGAATTTATGTCAATGATGACAGGTATTAATAACTTAGATTCCAAATATCTTGAGAACCATCACTCGTAGCGATTTTCACCAAGATACCTTTTTTATGTAAAAAACGTCGTAAATGTATATAGTTTTACTTACTAGTTTACAAAAAGTTATTATTGTTCAAACCAGTTAAAAAATATGTAGGTGGCGCCCCCTACAAATAGGAGTCATATTCACATCAAAATCAACATTCTCATATCAAAAAACTTCCAGACACCAATTATCATCCACATATTAACATTACTTCAGAAACTATTTGGAAAAAATCGAAATGAAAATGAAACTTCTACACCCTGTATCTCCGAAACTAAGCATTTTAGGACATATATTTATACAATTTTTTTACATCTTTTTATCTGCAGAATATACTGCCGAAGTTTCCGTAATACAGTTCGGACCACCCTGTATATTGTAGTCTTCTTCCGATTTCAAGGTTACATTCTCCAATTCTATTCTTTTCAAAAATTTAATAACTTGGAAACTGAAACTTTCATATAGCTCTTTGTCAATGGCTTATCATTGCCTAATACAAAGAAGCGCACATTTGCCAGTCTATCGCATACTGAATAAACGGTAGAATATGTTTTAGTTCTACCGTTTTTCTTCTGATTGACAGAATGCTCATATTGCTTGGTCCGTCTATATGACATTCCATCAGCTTTAGCGGTAGACTCACTACAGTTTTTTGTGTTTGCTTATGTCTGCCGAAGATTTTAGCGAATGTTCTACTATGAACTTTTGCCTGTCTCTGCCCAAGTAGCATTTTCAGGACTTGCGACCACATGTTTACTAAACACAACGTTGGATTAGTTACAAAAAATAGTTAGCTCCCTACCTTAGGTATTAAAATAAATTTAAACGTTTTTATAACGTTGTGCCGACGTTGGACTTGTACTACAGCAAAGTAGAAGCTTCTGCGACGTCGAATAAACGTTGTCTTCTAACCTTTTTTGCTTAAGTGATCTTTAGGTGATTCGGCCAACGTAGCTACAACGTTGGACAATATAGAGTTTTCCGACGTCAGTTTCAGGACCTATTCCAACGTTATGCAAACGTCATCTGTTTTACTAATTCCAACGTTGTTTAGATTTCCTTATTCTTAGGTTGGTAGGACGTCGGGTCACTACCTTTTTGCAACTGTATTGAACCATAACCTTAAATCTTAAATTTTCACTTCATTGTTCTGTTCAGTCAGACAGTTCAGTGCTGTTTTTGTTTTTATAAAAAAACTTAATTAAAATGGGACATAAGAAAGGTACATATAAAACTAAATTTAAATATACATCGACATATATTACCGATAATTTATCCACTCCCTCGTTTATTTAGATTATAGAGGGCGGCACAAGCTAGACTCTAGGATGACTAAATTAGGTAATCTTGCGACTAGTATACTACCTGTTAAGGCCGAACTGCGACTTTATTAGTCCAGTATGCGACTACTCGAACTACTCCATCTTAATCTCCAAAACAACAAAGTGCAAGCCGCCATGTTGTTAAATAAGAAAATGTTTCGTTTTTAAAATAGCAATTCCTGCTTTTTGAATACATTAACTTGAAATATTTGACCCTAAAAAAACGCGGAAACAATTTTTCGACTGCGAATGAATTATTCTCATTTTACTAAAAAAAAATTCAAGAAAATTTTTAAAACTTCTTTAATTTTAAGGCCCATTAGTATTTTTCAAAGTAGAAACAATACATTTATCAATAAAGTTGTTTGCGTTTAACTTTTTTGCCTTGGGTAACGAGTTACAGAGTCGGTTAAAGTGTTTCAATAATTATGATCTTCAAACATCCTCCACAATTAAATACTTTTGTTTTGTTTTCATTCACTGCCATCTGACATATGTCTCTAACTAAACCATAAAAATAATATTTTTACTATAATTATCCCAATTTAGGATAAAACGCGACTTAGACGCCATATTAGTTTTGTATTTCTGTGAATTAGGATTTTAAACAACGTTGCAGATTGTACTAAATTAGGCTTCTAGCCAACGTCGGTATCCAACGTCGTTTCGACCCAAAAATTATTCTCCAAACTAGTGCAGACTAGGGTTGGCACGAGGTTGTGCCGACGTTGCGCCCCGACGTTTGGTCGCGTGACACAACGTTGCCCCGACGTCCAAATGCTGCTTGGGTGCTCTGTTGATTATTCCCACACTTCTAGAGATTAGTTCTGCTATCTGTTATTTTATAACTGTTATTGATAAATAACAGTTCTACATACAAAAATCATTGTTATGAAAATAACAGCCACGATATACTTTCCGGATCGCTACACCACGAAATTAGCTGGCAACAGTCGTTGTTTCTAAAAATAAGAGGTAAAAATAACAAGTTCAAACTAAACCACTCACTGATAGTAACTGTTCACAATGCAATTCGCCTAGTTTATTAACACATGCCTATAACAGTTATTAAAAAATGTTATTTAGATGTAACAGTTTTTCGAATTATTATTTGAAATTGACTTGTTAACAGATTTATGTTTGGTATTTCAGCTTCTTAACTGTGATAGAGAAAAACTAAGACTTTCTTTGACGCAACGAACTATCGAGACTATAAGGGACGTAGTGACCACTCCTCTGGACAGAGAGTTAGCTGTGTATGCCAGAGATGCCCTGGCAAAAGCCGTATATGACAGACTGTTCACTTGGCTCGTGAAGCGAATCAACAGTTCCTTACAACCATCCGATGCCAGAAGGAACTCTGTGATTGGAATTTTGGATATTTACGGATTTGAAATCTTCGAAAAGAATAGGTAAAAACAATTAAATTTTAATAAATTGAAAATCGATAAAGATTAAAATTGTATTTTAAAAACATTTTGTATCGTAATTTTCAAAAAAGTAAGTGACTATTTTGAATTTTTCAGTTTTGAACAGTTGTGCATAAATTTCTGTAACGAAAAACTTCAACAATTGTTCATTGAATTGACGCTGAGATCAGAACAGGAAGAATATGAAAAGGAAGGCATCCAATGGGAGATGATTCCTTATTTTGACAATAAAATTATATGTGATTTGATTGAAGAAAAACATAAAGGTGGGTATTATCGAAGATAATTATAGTAGAACTAGAGTGTACCCGCGACTTCGTTCGCGTCGAATTAATCATTTGTAATGGTGATGATAAAACAAAGCAATACTTTCCATTAACATACAAACTGGATAAAATTTTCTCACATTTATGTCAGCATGAGGAAAAAACAATATGGCGATATTATTATATAACTTGGTAATATTTGAGGGATAGTTTCATCTCGTTGGAATTTGACTTTCGAAAAATCCGTTTGCCAAAAATAAGCTTTTTACGTCAAGCAGTTTAAGCAGAATCGTGGTTAATCAATTACCCAACTTTTTTCAACACCCTGTATGATTTTTTAAAGAATTTCAAAATATGTAAAAAACCAAAATAAATTATGCGTGTCCAAGCGTTTTCCCGAAAGACTAACCGTTTTTTAAGTAACAATAACAGTTTAAGCAGAATTACTCAAAGGTCATATTTTATGAAACACCCTGTATAAATTTTTAAAAAATCTTAAAATATGTAAAACAACAAAATAAAATATACGTGTTTAAGAGTTATTCCGAAAAACTCACCGGTTTTTAAATAAAAAATATTCTAATATTTGAGGGGTGGTTTCATCCCCTTAGAATTCGAGTTTCGCAAAATCCCTTCTTATCGAACCTCTACACCCTAAAGTCAATCCGTTTTCCAAAAATCAGCTTTTTACATCAAGCACTTTAAGCAGAATCGTGATTAATCAATGACCAATGACCAATTTCGACCCATTTTTTTGAAACACCCTGTATACTTTTTTAAAAAATCTTAAAATATGTAAAAAAACAAAATAAAATATACGTGTTTAAGTGTTTTTTTCTGAAACTTGACCGTTTTTAAACAAAAAATACTAGATATTCGCTTATCTTTTGTTCTGTAACAAGACGAGTTCTCAGCTCCAATGAAGTTTCATGTAGTATACAGGGTGGCCCATCGAAAACGTTCCGCAAGGCATAACGGCCAGGGTATTTTTTTTCAAAATATCCAGAAACACGTCAATTTTGTTTGTGAGGGGGACAACTTTTGCCCCAAAAATGATTACAAAATCTTCAACCCTTTAAGCGGGGGTGTCTTCCCCCAATTTTTTTCAAATGGGAAGTGAACTATACTTTCCCGCTTCGTTTTTGAAAATCGGTCGAGTTATTGAGAAAATATGAAGGATTGAAATTTGAAAAGTTTATTTAAACATTTAACAGAGTAAATAATAAGGATAAATTCCTTCGACCAATTTGCTGTTTTTTCTTATTATTTCTAGATGTTTACGCATTTTTTCACTTGCCACAAGGTTGAACGATCAGGTGCGGTAGTTGCTAGATAGCTGTTCTTTGACTTGTGCGTTCAAGTTCTTCTCAATATCGTTAAACTTTTTAACAATTATGGTGTACTTACTTGCAGAAAAAGTATAAATAATCGAACTTTATTTTAAAAATAAACTTTATTTTACTTTATTTTAAAACGTCTTCGTTGAGTTCTTGTACCAACTGAATTTTGTACGGATGGAACTTGGTGTTTTTTTAATATCCTTTAGACGCATGTACGATTCACGTAGGTCTCATTGGCAATTTTCTTGTACTCAGCGTACTATCCATGGCAACTTGGCCCAATACGAATACCTCCATAGCTTCATTTACTACAGGATTTTCCCTCTGCCTCTTTTTATTCATAACGGAACCAGTTTCGCGAAATTTTGCTACCAACTCGCGAACAATTTTGGAACAACCAACTCGCGAACAATAAAGGTGTTTGTCAGGATGGCGTTCATTGAATATCTGCGCACTTTTTCTGCAAGTGAGTACACCATAATTGTTAAAAAAGTTTAACGATATTGAGAAGAACTTCAACGCACAAGTCACAGAACAGCTATCTAGCAACTACCGCACCTGATCGTTCAACTTGTAGCAAGTGAAAAAATGAGTAAACATCTAGAAATAATAAGAAAAAACAGCAAATTGGAATTTAGCGAAGGAATTTATCCTTATCATTTACTCTGATAAATGTTTAAATAATTTTTTCAAATTTCAATCCTTCATATTTTCTCAATGACTCGACCGATTTTCAAAAACGAAGTGGGAAAATATAGAGAATAGATAGCCCTTTTCATTGCGGTACCATTTGATCCCCTTTCCATTTAAAAAAAATTGAGGGATGACACCCCCGCTTAGAGGGTTGAAGATTTTGCAATTATTTTTGGGGCAAAAGTTGTCCCCCTCATAAACAAAATTGACGTGTTTCTGAATTTTCTGAAAAAAAAATTATCCTGGCCGTTATGCCTTGCGGAACGCTTTCGATGGGCCATCCTGTATTTCTACCTATAAAAAAATATTTCTGTCTGTAAAGTAATATAATTTTCTTACATTATAGGATTAATTGCATTTATGGATGAAGAATGTCTGAGGCCAGGAGATCCAAACGACATAACTTTACTAGCAAAGTTAGACAAAAATTTGAGCTACCACGAACATTACATAAGCCACAAAAAAGCCGATTTCAGATTACAGAAAGTAATGGGACGCGATGTAAGCATCTAATCCCAACATTAAATCTTATTTTGTTCAAATTTTGGTTTTAACTTTTCTAGGAATTTAGATTGATTCACTATGCAGGCGTAGTGACATACAACATTAAATCCTTTATCGAAAAGAACAATGATTTGCTGTTCAGAGATCTCAGGGAAGCGATGTGCAGTTCAACGAATACAGTATTGCAGTCTATTTTCTTGGAGTCTGAACAACGAAGCAAAAAGAGACCGGATACTGCCATAACTCAGTTCAAAAATTCGTTGAATAACTTGATGAACATTTTGAAGGATAAAGAACCATCGTACATCAGATGTATCAAACCCAATGATACAAAGAGTCCTGGTAAGTAATGTTCTCCACAAAGATATAGACTTCATTTACAGTCCTGACGTAAAATATAGTTTATATCGATAATACTATTCAAACTTCAAATTTTTACTTAAATATTCATGTCATTTTTGGTAATTCTTATAGTCAATGAATATTTTACGCTATAGAGGTCTCATTTCGCAGTATGCGGGGCAGCCCCACAGACCAGTGACGTCCCCACAGGAACTTGAGGACCCACAGAGCCCTCAAAAAAATATTTAATAAAAAATATACATTATTTTGGTTTTGTTCTTTACTCAGGGGCTACCAAAAATATCTTGCACCGTGGCCCCCAGTTGTCAAGTTATGCCACTACCACAAACGTATCCAATTTTGATGCGAGACCAGACTTCTAGAACGTATAATATTCTTTGGTATAATGGTATAGCTAAATCTTAACTTAAAACTCTGTAATCAAAAACTTTAATAAATATGCTGGATCCAAAAATAACAAAAAAAATCAAATATGTTGAAACTGAGATGTGAAAAAAAATTATATCATTGTCCTTTGTAGGCATTTTCGATGAAGAAATAGTGAGACACCAAATAAAATACCTGGGTCTCATGGAAAACCTCAGGGTTCGCAGAGCAGGGTTCGCCTACCGTCGTACCTACGAGCTGTTCCTGAAGAGGTATAAGAGTCTGGCACCCGAAACGTGGCCCCATTTCCCAGGAAATGCCAAAGATGGCGTTCAGCATTTGGTTTGCGCTCTGGGATACGAAGCCAAAGAATATCAAATGGGAAGGTAATGAAAAATTAATCGGTAATAATCGTCATCGCTCATTCAATGTTACAAAATTAATATGACAGACAATGCAAGTCCAAAATTATTTTAACTATCAATATTTTTAGTCTAAAAGTATCAATACTGAACCTTTGTTTGTTATACTGAACCTTTGGTTGATTGTTTACTACATACTACATAGTTTATGAATTATCGCTAGTCAAACTTGTTTAATTTCGACACTGACTCACTCAATGATCCCCGAAACGTGGCCCCATTCCCAGGAAATGCCAAAGATGGCGTTCAGCATTTGGTTTGCGCTCTGGGATACGAAGCCAAAGAATATCAAATGGGAAGGTAATGAAAAATTAATCGGTAATAATCGTCATCGCTCATTCAATGTTACAAAATTAATATGACAGACAATGCAAGTCCAAAATTATCAATATTTTTAGTCTAAAAGTATCAATACTGAACCTTTGTTTGTTATACTAAACCTTTGGTTGATTGTTTGCTACATTAATAATAATATAAAATAATTCTTCTTATAGTTTATGAATTATCGCTAGTCAAACTTGTTTAATTTCGACACTGACTCACTCAATGATCATCAAAATTCAAAGGTATTTCTCGAAGTCCCACAAACTTCAAATTTTGTATTTTAGTTAGTATTTGGCCTATAAAGGAAAGAAAAGATGAAAACCCCCGAAATGTCATTATTCAGTAAATGAAAAATAATAATTATTAAAAATCAAACGTCTAGCTGCTACCGGCTACCGGTAACTGACTATTCTGTCGATACGAAGTTGCAGAAATGGATTTGATTGCTTTAACTTCAACTTTGTTCAACAATTCGGACCATATTGTATATGAAGGGCAAGGGGAAAATCCCACAATGTCACAAAACGGAGAAAACGATGATTTCATTATCAAATACCATGTTAAAGATATAAAAATGTATTACTGAATGCGTTATTATTTGGACATCGTTAGACATATAGACATATTCAATTACAATTTAACATGTGCCTGGGACTTGGCATTCTCAGCAAAGTTGATTACTTAAAAATTCAATAAAATGGACATTTGTTTTCCCCTTATCCCTATCATATAATTGGATCAAATAAATATTAAATATTTATAGAAGCACCTATTCAACAACTTGTTATAAATTGTTATTTAATCAATTACACATTTATACAGAGTGAGTCTTAAATAAGTGAAAATATTTTCAGGGCTGGTGGATCACGATAAAAAAGACATATTTTCTCTTTACCGTTTTTCAAATATATCCAAAATAACCGAGTTATTTTACTTCGAAAATTTGCAAAAAAATTATATTTTGCATACATTTTGGGAACCACGGGATTTTTTCAGGGTTTTCTTTCTTGTAAATTTATTCTACTACCTATGCTACCATATTATCAAGAATAGTTATTTATGATATAAGTGCTAAAAGTGGTATTTTATTTTGTGAGAAGGGAAGCTTGGAACACGACGCCGAAGGCGGAGTGTTTCATCCCTTCGAACAAAATAAAATCACTTTTAGCACACATATCACATATCATACACTATTTTTTCTACAAACAAGTTTATGCTCGTATATATCAAGGTATTATTACTTTTTACGTTAATGAATGATTCATAATATGTCATTCTGCAATTAAATTAATTATGAAGTTTATGATTGCTATGGTAATATTATCGCTTCAGTGTTAAAAGTAAATCACGTGACTTACTTTTAGCACTAGTGCTAAAAGTCTTTTAAAAGTAAATGATTTTTACTATCCGTGACATAATGTCACATTTTAGGCACTGACAGCATGCGCTAAAAATTACATTTTTACTGAAGTTTGTAGAAAAATTATGTTTTTTAGTTAAAAACTGAAAAAAAATCCAAATTTTATAAAAAATTCCCAAGAAAAAAAACCTCATAATCGTGTTTCTGGAGTCGAAATATACCACCACTAAAAATATTTGCACTTATTTAAGACTCACCCTGTATATTACAAATAAATGGACATTTTTAATTTCTATAATTATGCATTTTTTACATTTTATGTTTTTGAAGGAATATTTTTATTTCGATAGATTCGACTGCCTATTTTTTTGTATTGCCTAGTAGTTAACTCACTAAAACTAAGATAATTTTTCTTTCCTCATTAGAACCAAGATTTTCATAAGACATCCGCAAACACTTTTCCGTACTGAAGACGCTTTCCAACTGAAGAAAAACGACATAGCCTCTATTATACAAGCTCACTGGAAAGGTTGCTTACAAAGACGCAAATATTTGAAGATGAAAGAAGCAGTCATCGTTTTGCAGAAGAATGCGAGAAGATACCTTGCTAAGTCCAACGCTAAAAAACGAAGAGAGGCTGCTACTAAAATTAGAGCGTTAGTATTTCTAAAGATCCTGAAATTATTATTTATTACACCAGCATAGGTCCAAAATTATTGCATATTTTTGGGATATTTTAGTTTGGTAAAATCAAAAGATGTTCCAGAAAATTTTAATTTATAAAGTTAATGACTTGGTTAAGACCATATGACAGAGCTATTTCTGTATTATAAACTTTTATTACAACTAAATTTAATAAATAATAGAAATACAATTTACAAAATTAAAACATTTAAATTAAATTCAAAGTGCAAAAACAAACAATGAAGAAAATCTTTGAAATTATTAGTCTGTATTCCCCCTCGGGCATTACTTTCTGAAACAATTCCCATTCTTCAATTGCTGCAATTCTCAATTCTCTTAAAGTTAAGGGCGGGTTATTTCGTGATTTTAGGATATCCTGAGTATGTTCATATCTGGTGAATTAGCAGGCCATCGTAAACACGTTATTCCCTCTTCGTCAAAAAGTGGACAATTCGTCAAAAAATAGTGGTGTATTATCAGCAACTAAGATTAAGGGAATCTAATCTTTGAAACCAGACCAACTACGGTCGCTCGAGGATATTGCCAGAGATAGGGAAAATCATGGCGAACATGAGTACACATCTGCTAGACCAGAAAACGGACTATATGCTCACCAAACATGATTTTAGAAAAAAGATAATGATTGGCACCCCGACAAGAGAAGAAAGGGAAAGCAACCGAGGACCGAGTAATGAACACTCAAGAGATAGCAGTCTACACAGATGCTTCCGTAGCTTTAGGAGGCACAGGTATAGGCATTTTCTCAGAGGAACTAGACATCCGATAATCTTTAAGGCTCTCGGATGGCTGTAATGTTCTACAAGCAGAGGTTTAAGCTAAAAAGGAAGCGGCCAGGTGTATATGAGGGAAATTCGCTGATAGACAAATAGGAGATATCGATGGTGATATACTCTGAGCTCTGAGAGCTTAGGCGCTTTAAGAGGCATCACCATACAATCAGTGAGATCGAAAACTGTGATGGGCTGCCGAGAAGCTCTGCCCTGGCTGCGTCAAGGCGGGGCTACTCTGTGCTGGGTGCCAGGCCACAGCAATATGGTCGGCAACCAAGAAGCAGACAGATTCGTCAAAGAGGGAACTGGGGAAGAGGCCGTGGCAGATGACCCACAATTTTCTATCAACACCCTGAAGTGGAACTACTATCAAGGCCAAGCAACAAGAGACGTGGCAAAACCGTGAGGACTGCGCTACAGCTTAAAGACTGTGCCCAGTGGTAGAGAGCAAAAAGACAAAACAACTACTAGAGCACAAAAAGAACCTAGTATGCATAATAATTATTGTAGATGTCATCACTGGAAACTGCCCCACGGGGTAAACCTCGTGCGATGGAAGATTTCCAACGACGACTACTGCAGAGAATGCGGAGAGGAAGAAGAAACCATAGAGCACCTGCTGTGCCACTGTCCGGCACTGGAATACCGACACTTTAAAACTTTAGGGCAAGGTTTTTTGGATGGACTAAAGGAAGCAGCAGATCAATAAAGCTAACCAACATCAGCGACATAGGGAACTTTGCAAAGAGCTGGAAGTGCTTTAACGCAAAGAAAGAATGAGATGAAGGTTTGATACATTAATACAGGGGTATCGCAATGGGCTCAAGGCGGGAGTGAGGGATCAAACATGATCCCAAACCCCAGCAACGTAACCTAACCTAACCTATCATCAACGAAGACAAAATTTGTTTCAACTGCCCCTCGAAATAAACGCATAATTGCTGAGCTCTAGCTAATCTGGCTTGTCGTTCTGGAGCTTTCCAGATATGGATTCGTGGAGAATCCGCTACTAGGTCTATTCGTGTTTCATTAGAAAACATGACATTTTCCCAGTTTTAATTTTGTTCAAACGTTCCCTGTGCCCATTGTAATGTTTTTGCTGTTCTTTTAATTTTGAAACTCGCAAAGGTCTCCGACGATGTAAACTAACAGATCTTAATCGACGTACCAGTTCGTCTTGATTCAATAACTCCCTCAAGCCGTGCCAGCTCTCTATATAAAGCGCTCATTGTACTTAATGGCTTCTTTCTAGCAATTATTGTCACCTGACGATCTTGTGCTGCAGTAGTAAGCTCTTTCCAATCTCTTCCTGGTCGGTCCTTTAACATCATTGGTTTCACGAAACTTTTTAATTCGTGAAACATCACTTTGATTAACGTCTAGAATTTCTGCCAATTTATTTTGTAATAAACCTTGTTGTCGCAAAGTTAATATTCGGGTTCTGTTACAGTAGGAAATAGCAAATAACATCAACAACAAACATACATTAAAGTAGAAAAAACTTTTGGCACTTTTATACGATAATATGTGATCAGAATGCAGAAGAGCTAAAATACTACTAAACCGCACGACAGAAATGTATAAAATCTAATTAAATATAAAGAAATATTTCTTATCTTTATTTTTTGTTAAAATTTGTGCACAACATGTGAACCAATACCTATTTCTAAAAATACAAATATGCTCTATTTATCGATAGACAATAATTTTGGACATACATTTAAATTTATATATTCTTTAGATTTATTCATGGTTTTATCACTCGTCATGAATCGCCAAATGAAGACAACGAGAGATTCATACAAATTACAAAAGTCAACTGGTTGAAACGACTGGCTAAGAGTTTACCTCAAAATATCTTAAAACGAACTTGGCCTCCATGTCCCACAATATGCCAAGAAGCATCGGAATTATTGAGAGTTATGTACGATGCCAATTTATCAAGAAGATACAGGTAACATAAATTTCATATTATTTAAATATCTATACAGGGTCCGCCAATAGTGTGTCGGACATCTGTAGCTGCTAGGAATTTGTTTTAAGTGCAAACCTAATGTATATTACATAATCCTAAGATATTACTAAATATGTTTTAATAGTTTTAGATATATTAATACATAAATTAAAAAAATCACCCCTTTTTAAAAAAATTACATGGGATACAAAAATGTCCTGAAATCCAAACTATACTAGGTATTTACTATAGTTGTTGGTGTGTACACTACTTTGCTATACATATTGTAATCTTCTTAAACCATACAAGGTGTTCAAAAATCTATGCCAAACTTTCTAAAATATAAAATAACTTTTCTTGCTTTTTTTAAATGGAATACCTGCATATTATTTCTTTATTTTGATAAAAAAATAAAAAATTAATATTTTTTGTATTTAAAGTATTTTAAAATTATAAGCGGTTTCGCAAATATTTGCGGATGGCCCTTTCAGCGGTAAAATACCAGTAGGGTTTCCAAACCGGGATCCGGTGTAATACAGGGTGTTTCAAAAAACATGTGCCATCCTTCGTGGGGAGATTCCTCATGTAAAAATAAAATATATTTTTCATATCAACATAGGTCCGATTCTGCTTTATTTTGTAGCTGGTCTTAAAGTCTTAATATTTTTGCGATTTATTATAATTTGCTTCCAAGTACTTTTAGTGTTTCGAATGAAATTTTGAGGGTAAAAGTTACTATAAATGCGACATATTTTAAAGCTAAAAAAGTGTCGACATATTCACCAGTGACGTGCATATGGGTTATCACTGGAATATTTTCCTAAAAAAATCATGTACGCCACTGTTTTTTTTGTCTTGTTAGCGAAATAGTGTAAGCAGTTTAATGCCTATTAAAAGTTGTCTCTTGATATTTTGTCGATTTCGGCTTCCTTGATGAGATAAACGCAACCCAAGCAACACAGATAGTTCCAAATCCCTTCGGTTTAAGACTGGCTACCAAAACATAGTTCCTGGGTGCACCCTGTTACCTAATTTGTCACTATATCCGGTAATACCACTGCAAAGTATTTTTGGATAGTATCTGTTACCACCCTGTTACTAGTCATTTGGAATTTAAACACCCAAAATTAAGGTAGCAAATGGGTTGTTGCGTCTAGTAAGACACAAGTCTGTCCGTTACCACAAGAATAAAGATCAATAAAATTGTTTGTTCACTGCGCTGCTAGTGGAACTTCCTAGACAAGTTCACCAGGATAAAGGGTTTATTGGATTAAATTTAGAAGAGTATGACTGGACTCGATATGACAATAAATTATTTTAAATTTATTTTTGAAAATTCATACACATATTATTATTATGTATAATTGTCGTATTTTCTATATATTTGTAAAGTTCTTATAGCTGCATTTTTCTAGAAATGTCGAGTTAGTGACTACTGATGAATTTAAAGATAAAACAGAGCTCAGAGAAGAAAGTAACATAAGTCAGGAACTAAGGCATTGGGCATTAAAACACCAAATTAGCCACATTGCTTTAACAGATTTACTTGGTATACTAAAAATGTTGACGACGGCTTACCTCCATTTAAGAGTTCTCCATTAGAATTTTGGCCGATACTCCTAAAAATGCATGAATATCCTTGCGATCAACCCATGGTGGCAGCTATTAATTGTGGCAAGTCAAAACCTCCATTACAAGAATTTTTACATGATTTTGTAACAGAATTAAATGAGATTTTGGAGACTGGAATTAAAGTAAATCAGATTAGGGTGAAAGTAAAAATTTGATTATCTCATTCATCATTTTTTTTATTCAATTGTTTTTGGTCAATTCATGTTTCACCGGAAAAGACAACTTTTGATTTTTAAATGGCACCCTCAATATTTTTTGCTTAATTCAATAGAAAATGACACTCTGAATAGAATGACATATCATAATACGACATTTTCTCATATGGTTTATTTGAAATTGTAACATCGGTTCATAACGGCAATTTGACTCGAAATATCAAGTGTGTGGTACCAAATTATTCGTAAAAATGCCTTTTTTCAAATATGCTAATAAGTCATCCTCGTTCCATTTGAAAAAACTGAGATATGATTAAAAATACAATTTAGGCATCTTTTAACCAGTCAGGACAAGACACGAAAAACATTAAAAGATCAAATATATTTTTCTAAGGCTCCTAGATAAAAAATTAGTGTTCTTAAATTGTTTTGAGCTTAGAGGTAGGCGGAACGTTATAGAAACATATGGAACTATATTGTCACAAAATGCCTGATTGTCCGACTTTTTGGGTGTTCAAAGTAACTTTCTAGTTCCAGTAGTTACCATAGTGTACAAAATTTAAATACATTTAAGAATAACAAAGTTCCGAATTAGTAACCGATACTACAAAGTAACTTTTGAGTAGTAACAATTTAATCACTGGAAGTAGCGGATCTTTTATAGTAAAAAATGGGTAGTCCCTGCTACTTCATAGGGAACAGCCTAACTTTATCGTAGCGAAGTGTGCGTCAGCCATTTTTTACTGTTAGACATTTTTTAATTAAATTTATTTGTTAATATATTTTCATTTTTTCTTTATTTTCCCAAGTTTTATAGTGCTTTAAGCATTTATTTTTCCAATTAGAACTCGAATACACTTTCGTGCATTACGAAATATTATTTTTAATATTTTTGATATTATTTTTTGTCCTTAAATATCTACAAAATTGAATCAGTTCGAAGGCGCGTTAAAATATTTCCATCTAACTCGGTAATATTTGTCAGTAAACTGACGTGCGTTATTATATTAGTCCTGGAAGTGTCCGAAATACGCGATTAAAAACCATCATTTTCCTCATAAACATAACACGCCATTATTAACTTAACTTTAACATGGCCATGCACCGCGGCTGTCATATCATATTATTATTTTATTTCAAAACGTTTTTTAAAAGTAGAGGTCGCTAGAAGAATGTTTTGCTACTATATAGTAGCAGTTACCAGGCGGCTACGTAGGGGCGACCAGTCCGCTACGTAGCAGGATAGTGGCCGCTACTACCCTTTCACTTTATAGTTACGAAATATAGTGGCAGCGTTAGTCCCTGGGACCACCCGGTATACTACCCCGTTACCCTAAATTCTTCCCCATTTTAGTAACAGTTACGTGGCGGCTACCTGGCGGCAACGTAGCCGTCGATAGTGGCAGTCTACTTGATGGTCGCTTTTGTAGTCCCAGGAACGTACCTGCTACTATCTGTGTTGCTTGGGAATTTTATTAATTTGCTTTCATCCAAGTCTAATAGCAACTTTTAAAAAAAAATATCATTAACTTGCGAAAGTTTTAAATAAGTACTCGTTGATTCCTCATCAAAAAATATGAAAAAAAGTTCCTATAAATATGGGTATGGAAATGCATAGTTTTAGAGTTATAGGATGTTAAAACTTTTTAAAATTAGTTTTTTTGTAATTATATCTTAAATACCATTATTTTTTTATTTGAAATTGCTGTAGGTAGGACTAATAGTAATAATAATAATAGTAATAATATTTAATATAAAGTTAGGTAAAATATATAATTTATTAATTTTATTTTTGTTGTAATTTTATTAATTATTGTGACTAATAAAATTGCGTTTATCTCATCAAGGAAGCCAAATTTGACAAAATATCAAGAGATAACATTTAATTAGCCTTAAAGGGACAATACAATTTTGATATCAAGAGAAAAAAAGTCAGTGGCGCACATGTTTTTTTTTGAAAAATAATCCAGTGATAACCCATATGCACGTCCTTGATGAATTAATCTACACTATTTTTGCATTAAAATATGTAGCTCTTATAGTAACTTTTACCCTCAAAATTTCATTCAATTCACTAAAAGTACTTGGAAGAAAATTATAATAAATCGAAAAAATATTAAGACTTTAACACCCTGTAGCTACGAAACAAAGCAGAATCGGACCTATGTTGATATGAAAAATAAATCTTATTTTTACGTGAGGAATCTCCCCACGAGAGATGGCACATGTTTTTTGAAACACCCTGTATTTGTCGCCGAAATCCCGATATTAAATCCCGGAATCACTAAAATCTTGAAAAAATTAAAAGTCCAATCTAAAATGATTAGAATTAATACACTTTAGTCATTCTAAGATCACATTTTATTTATATAAGCAGATTATTACCTTAATAAAAGCATATTATATTATTATTAATTTTTTTATAGGTTGGCACTGACACCTGAAAGAAAACAACAGTTTGAACTCAAGGTTTTAGCAGAAAGCTTATTTAAAGGTACATTGTAATTTTTAAAGATAAATTAAAATACGATTAAATAAATATAAAATTTGTGTTACTATTCCTTTAGGAAAGAAGAAAAGTTATGCTTCCAGTGTTCCAGAATGGTTTGTCAAAGACAGAGTATCCGAGCATAGTTTGGCACTCAAATCTGGATACTCAACACAACTTAATGGGGATAAAGAAGTAGTACGTATTAAATATCAATTATTTTCTTTCAAAAGTCTTTTAAACTTTTTAAATAATATTTTATACAGGGTGTATAAAAAACATGTGCCATCTCTCGTGGGGAGATTCCTCACGTAAAAATACGATTTATTTTTCATATCAGCGGAGGTCCGATTCTGCTTTGTCTTGTAGATACAGGGTGTAAAGTCTTAATATTTTTTCGATTTATTATAATATTCTTCCAAATATTTTTAGCGTTTCGAACGAAATTTTGAGGGTAAAAGTAATTTAAAACTTTCGCAAGTTAATAATATTAAAATTTTTAAAGGTTGCTATTAGACTTAGATCAAGGCAAATTATTAAAATTGCGTTTATCTCATCAAGGAGGCCGAAATCAACAAAATATTAAGGGACAACTTTTAATCGGCATTAAACTGCTTACACTATTTCGCTAACAAGAGCAAAAATGTCAGTGGCGTACATGTTTTTTTTTAGAAAAATATTCCAGTGATAACCATTATGCACGTCCCTGGTGAATATGTTGACCGCTTTTTACCTTTAAAATATGTCGCATTTATAGTAGTTTTTACTTTCAAAATTTCATTCAAAACGCTAAAAGTACTAGGAAAAAAATTATAATAAATCGAAAAAATATTAAGACTTTAACATCCTGTATCTACAAGACAAATCAGAATCGGACCTATGTTGATATGAAAAATAAATCTTATTTTTACGCGAGGAATCTCCCCACGAGAAATGGCACATGCTTTTTAAAACACCCTGTAGAAACCTTGAGACAGTAGAAAAAAAAATCATGAAAATATTTTTACTACCTGTAATTAAGTGCCTACTTTGAAATATCTATATAGTATTTTTACTTAGTTTTCCAAAAGCAGTCACCTAATTATTTACACCCTGTTGATATACAGAATGTCCTATGTATATATACCGGGTGCGTCTTGAAAGTGGCTCACCTCTATGACTTTTTTATTTTTTCAAATAAAAAAAAAAGAAATTTGGTATGTATATGACATAAATTAGGATTGATTGACGTATTCAATTGTTTTTTGTCACTTCCTGTTTCACCGGAAATGACTACAACTTTTGATTTTTAAATGGCACCCTCGGTATATTTGTACTTTATTCGATGGAATATGACACTCTGAATACAATGACATATCACAATGCATGTCAACTTTTGACATTTTCATTTAATGAAAAATCATATTTGAAATTTCAATCTAGAGTGCCATGTCCGCGTAAAAAACACTAATTTTTGATCAAGGAGCCCTGGAAAAATAGATTTAATCATCTTATGTTTTTCGTGTCTTGTCCTGGCCGGTTAAAAGATGTCCAAATCGTATTTTTAATCATGATTAATTTTTTTCAAATAGAACAAGGGTGGCCCGCTAGCATATTTGGAAAAATCATTTTTTTGCGAATAATTTGGTCCCACACACTTGTTATTTTCAGTCAAATTCTCGTTAAGACACGCATGATCAATTTCAAATAAACCCATATGCGAAAATATCAAAAGTTGACGTGTGATATTATGTAAGTCTATTCAGAGTGTCTTTTTCTATCGAATAAAGTAGAAACATACCGAGGGTGCCATTTAAAAATCAAGAGTTGTAGTAATTTCCGGTGAAACAGGAAGTAACCAAAAACAATTATTGAATACGCCAATCAGTACTCGTCAATCAATCCTAATTTATGTCATATACTACCTTACCAAATTTCGTTTTTTTATCAGAAAAAAATAAAAAAATAGGGGTGAGCCACTTTTGAGACGCACCCGGTATAAAGGATGCACACTAGAGAATTTCGTAAACTAGAGATACAAAGATGATTAAATTAGAGAAAAGTTGCGCCTTGCAACCCTACGACCTACAACGCCATGATTCGAAATCTAAAATATGTTCTTGCTTGTTTTTTAATTTAAAATTCTTGAGGATGATACCCAAAAGTATATATTTTTTGGACATCATTGTACTTGACGTCAAAAGCTTTTAAAAAATATTAAGTCCGAAATAAAAAATCAAGGTCCGCATTGAAAAATATAAAGTTGATGAACCAGGACTCGAAAGGACTCGAAACGTCAGATGAAAACTCTAATAACATTAACTTGTAGAGCAGGAAAAGTAGATTTCCAACCAAAAAAAAAGGGTATTTCCAACTACAGTTTTTGTTTTTTAGTATGCAACATCAGTAATGAAGTATGACCGACACGGATATAAACCAAGAGAACGCATCATCATAGTTACGCAAAACAACCTGCACGTTCTTGAATGCAAAGGTTCAGTCAAGCAGAAACATGTCTTACCACTGAGAAAACTACAATTTGTTGTAACTCACGAAAACGACAAGTTCCTTTTGGTTAGGATACCTGAAGACTTACTTAAAAAGGATAAGGTATATGATATTTCCAATTTCCTTTCATTTCTGGACAATATATGTATACAAGAGTCCTTCACAGTAGGGGAGCCCAATATGCTAAATAAGGAGCACACGGGAAAACGATGAATGTCCAAAAACGATAAAGCGTTTTTTTAATTCGCATGGACTTTTGTATTTTTTCCCATTTTTAAATGCCTGTTTCTATGCGACCGTTATCGATATTCCCGTTTCTTTAGGTACCTTTTTAAGAGGAAAAATGTTATGCATTAAAATGAAATTAGCATTCAAAAAAAAGTTTCAAAAATTCCAAATTTTCAAAAAAAATTTTTCGCGAGGAAACCTCATAATCGTGTTTCTGGGGTAGAAATATACCAGCTCTAAAAATATTTGCACTTATTTAAGACTCATCCTGTATTATGCTCCTTTACTGGTGGTGAAAAAATGACAGTCAATTAATAGTGTAGGTATGTGTCCCACATATTAGTCTAAGAATCACACTTATAATGATTTTAGTTACGTTGGCTTTGGAAATCTTCAGATTATATTATTCGCGTGATTCTTGAAAGAAAAATGTCTATACCTATGTGGCGAATTCGTCTCTCCAAAAAGTCATATGGGTATTTCGCCACTGCAAGAAAAGCTACAAAATAAAATAGTTTTTTTAAAACACGGCTGCGTTAATCCAACGGAGACTAATTGCCAGCAGTGGTCTACTAATAAACAAATTTGCCTAACGGACAAAAAAAAATGATTTTTTTTTTAACAAAACGTCAACGATTTTTGTAGACCTGTTTTAAAAAAACTAAAAATAGTTGCATTTAGAAATTTAAAGTTTTTTTCTTTGTTCTTTGTGTTTTTTTTTGCTTCTGACGACGGAAAGAGACATACTTTCCGAAACGTTGAGCGTTTTTTTGTCCGTTAGGGAAATTTGTTTATTAATAGACCTCTGCTGATAATTAGCCTCCGTTGGATTAACGCCCAGCAGTGTTTACAAAAAATAACTTATTTTATTTTATAGATTTTTTGCAGTGGCGAAATACCCATAGGACTTTTTTGGAGATACATCTACAGAAAACAGATTGTTATACAGGGTGGTACGAACTCTATTCCGGAAACTTCGGCAGCATATTATGCAAATAAAAATAAGTAAGAAAATTCGTATAAACGTATGTCCTAAAATGCTTCCTTTTCAGATATGAAATGAATTTTCATCCAAATACCGAATTTAGTTCAGAAATCATTTGAAAAAAATCGAAATAAAAATGAAACTTCTACGCCCTGTATCGCCGAAACGAAGCATTTTAGGACATAAGTTTATACGATTTTTTTACTTATTTTTATGTGCAGAATATGCTGCCGAAGTTTCCGGAATACAGTTCGGACCACCCTGTATATTATGATTTTTTTATAAGTTTATTACCACTGCAACTCTGAAACCCCTGTGGATACAGGGTTAGTCACCTCTTTCAACACGGAGTATTCGTAATAACACGATTAGATTTTTAAAAATTTAAATTATAAGAAAATGCATTTTTTACGAAAACCTGAAGAGCTAGGTAAAAAATGGTAAAATACAATTTGATAGACAATTAAATCCTTTTGTATTGTTTGAGTCTCGTAACATATACAGGGTGTTCCACTTAAGTTAAACAAGTTATTGCCGTTTAAAGCTAGAAATTAAGTATTTAAAATATATTTTTAGACACTGTGAATAAGTAGTATTATTTTTATTATTGCGACACAAAATTTAGTAAATAGAAAAAGTTCAGTACAATACTTGGTTTTAAAAGCTTAAATATGAGCTTAAATACGTCTAGAGAAATGAAGATAAAGCATTAAAAATATGGTTACCGTGAGGTGGGGTGACTTTGCCCAATTCTGAATTTTAAATCGTGTTTATTTCAAAAATTGTTGTATTTTCTCAAATGCGCATGGTCTATGCTATAAGTGGTAATAAGGACAATACAACAATAATACGCTTTTTTGTTTATTAAACAAATATATATATATAAAAAAGTAAAAAACTGGATGGGCAAAGTTAGTTGCTTATATGGGGTGTCTTTACCCTCTTCCTTATTTTTATTGATAGACCAAAGCCACCCCATTTAAAAGCATAATTACGTAAAATATGCTTCATCACCCTCAATATTATAACGAACTTCTGCATAATACTTACCTCAATATAGCGTGGTTAACTATTGCAGCCACGTCGAAGTTTGAAACGCACAAAATAGGCTTTAAAAACAGATTTGGCTTCACAGCACTGTAAATGCTACATCGCAACTGACGGCAAGCGTTTAGCGACGTTTTGGGACACTCTGTACCTTTTGAAAATAATTTTAAATTGTAGCTTTAGTAATCCTCCAACGATCCCATTACTCACATTTTCTAAAAATCTGATCATTTGGTTACAATACTCCGTCTCGAGTGTGGTGAATAACCCTGTATATTAATGTTAAAAATCTTACCTTATTTCACAGGGCGATCTGCTGTTAGAAGTACCACACTTGATAGAAGCCATCACAGCTATTATAAAAGTCACAAACGATCGGAACGCACTGACAATTATCGATGCTACTACGTGAGTATATTTTTATAAAGGTTAATCAACTTAAAACCACATTAAACACATTTTTAGAATCGAACATCACATGAACGGTAAAAATGGAACCATAGAAATACAACTTGGTTCACCAGAAAGTATTCACAAAAATAAGAGCGGGCATTTACTTATAGTAAGTTTTATTCTAAATTCTATTGTACCGTATGATCGAGAAAAAACGTCGTCAGCGATGGCTATGGAATGAAGATCGCTGTCATTTTATATGTAAATTTATATGGGAAATGTCATTGATGGTCATTTCCCAGCCAACTGGACGCCGTTTTTTTTCGATCATACAGTATTATCAATATATTCTCTACTCTTTGGTACTATTCTATTGAAGTAGGCTGTAAAATTGACAATTATAAGTTTTGATGGATATAGATTTTTTACATAGCATAGATAAATGCAACAAGTTTAGACTGGAAAGCCCGTAAAAATTTTAGGTCGCGAAATTATTTTGGGTCGCGACCGTTATACGCGATCTGGCGCTGCTATAGCGGTCGCTAAGAACAACGGCAAACAAAAGCAGAAATAATTTTCTCTTGTCAAAGTCAGAATCTTCAAAAATCATAATAATCTTTCAAAATCTAAACTGCTCTCATTAAAGAAATTCCGAAAAGTGTTTATAGCGTCCATTTTCAAAGTAATAATTGCTATCTTGTGAGTTTAATTCAAGTTTTATTTACTCGAACCGGTGATAATTGTGAAAAAGTGGCATTAAAAACTTAAAAAGCTGTGCTGTGAAATGTGAACTGCAAAAACCATCGTGGATCGTGGCATAACGTCGGTTTCCAATGCTTCATAGGTATTTCATACATACGTCCTTATATAAAATAAAGTTTCTTGTATGCAACACACTGTCTTTTATTTATAAAATTAAACGAAAATAATAATAAATTTGAATAAACAATACGTGGCGATATAATTCCGGAAAAAGCCGAACCGCTCCGAAATTTTCAAAAGTTTTAGGTCGCGACCGTTGCAAGAATAGCGCCAAATAGTGTTTACATTGTCCTTATGGGCACTTTCCAATCTAAACTTGTTTCATTTATCTATGTTACATAGTTCTGGCGTAACTTTTGATTAATAATAAACTTAATAATAAATTTATTTTTTTTAGGTTGCATCTCCTTAGGCCATTACAAACTAAGTACAAATCAAGGAACAAAAAGCTATAAAATTATTTTTATTTTTTACTTCCATATTTTTCCTACAAAAAATACTTTTTTATAATTTTAGAACGTTGTTGTTTAATTTATTCTTATATTGTTAAAAAATAAATAAAATATTTTAAATGTAAATTATTTACATTTGCATCATGCTTCCATGTATTTTATATAAAAGCTTTAACTTTTTTGGAGATTAATTTTACCAATCAGTGCCATTCTATGTATGCATAGGTACTAAAAAGAATTTTCTTCCAAAAAATAAACTATATTTTATAATTATATAAATCTGTATAAATAAAAAAATAGAACTAAAAAAGTCGTGTTTTTATTTCTGGACAATTTTGTCAAGTAGGCAGATTAAAACAATAGCTCAACCAGGCTGAACTGAAATTGACATCTCAATAGTGAAATTACATCAAATATCAAATTAAAAATTGTAATATTTATACTTTTTCAATTGCATATTTAATATTACAAGGAGTATTATACTATTGCTATAATTTAAACTATGATATCTTCACAAGAAGAGATGGAAAATTCCATTACCTGCATAGAAAATCTCTTCAGGGTAATCTACCCTTATCTGTTTTATTAATAAAAGTACAATAAACTTTTTTTGGTGTTATATTCAAATAATATAAAAATATATACCTATATTTAAATTAGGCTTAAAACAAATATTATTATAGAACAAATCCCTGGAAGAAGAAAATTATTCGCTCTTGTCTGATTTTAAAGGTTTTCTATCAGATGAATTAACATTTCAAGCAAAAAATGAAGAAACATTAAAAGAAAATATAAATACTCTCCAAGCCATGAACAACAATGATATAAAAAATAAATATAAAGAACTTCAAGGTATAATAAATAATAAGCTTGAAATACAGAAAATAATATTTTTTAACTTTTTGATATTCTCACAGAAAAATTCCAGACCTCCCAGAATTATTTCAATAAAATTAAGAAGGAAATGAGTGATTTCGCGTATAAAAGTAACGCCGAAAAAAATATACTACAAGCAAAATATGAACAGAAAAGACAGGAAATATCTTTGGAATATAATAATAGGATCACAGCACTTTTAAAAGATTTAGAAAAAAATAAAATAGCAAATATGAATGCCGGTAAATAAAAATTATATATAAACTTGATTGCAAACATATAACTTAAAAATTTCAGAAAAAAGCCTCAGAGATGAAATATCTTTGGAAAAAGCCACAAAAAATATACGGTTAAATAATCTAAAAGTGGGTTTACAAAAGCAAATTTTGGAACTCAATAATGTCTTGACCAATGTAAGAAGTGAGCATAAAGATCTCTTAAAAGAACTCACATCATTAAAAGAAGAACAAGTAAGTGTAAATCTTTTTAATTCTCTGAATATCACCTATTTTTTTTTAGAACACGAATACTGCAGATTATAAAAAAAATGCTGTGTTGGAGTTTAATACACCCAATACTGAATTAAATAGAAATTATAATACACCAATATGTAATCAATATTCTTATCCAAAAACTTACACACCTGTTATTCAACATGAAGATAATGTAATAAATATCCAAAGTACAGGCAATATTTCTAGTCACAGTATCAAACCATATCAAAGTAATAATAAAAATTATGTATCTAATAACCCTTCGAAAATGTATACACCTAAGAACCATGATAGCAATATATATGACCTGTCATGTGATGGAGATGGTAATATTTCAAATAATATAAAAAAGTAAAACGTTACATTTGGAATTTTTAGGTGAAAATGTCAATAAAAATGATTCAATTTCCAGCACTAACTCATCCAAAAATAATAAAGAAAACATTATACAAAGAAAACCAGTTCTTTTTGGAAATAACAAAGGTTCAAAACGATTTTGTAACTTCAAAAAGTAACAATAAAAGTGTGTTTATTATCCTTAAAACAGTCAATAACAACAATTTTACTTAAATATTTAATAATAAAGTTAATAATTTAAAAGATTTAATTTTTTATTTTCAATTTTCTTAGTTAATTTTATTTTAATCTTCTCTCCAAGTTGTTTCAACTTCATCAGTTCTATACCTCTGAGTAACAGTGGACTCCTCCCACTTCATTCTAGTTCCAGACCGAAACATTTCAGCCCCTGCATGAGCTATCATAACACCATTATCAATACAAAATCTTTCGTCAGTTGCAAACAGTGTTGAGCCACGTTCTTTGCACATTTCGTTCATCATTTCTTGCAGACGCAGATTACAACCTACACCTCCAACTATAAGTAAAATAAATTGACAAATAGTTTATTATTTTACAAGTTAAAAAATTTGTTAAATACCAATTAAAACTTCGCTTGAATTACAATGTGCTAAAGCCCTCTCTGTAGTTTCGACTAGCATAGCAAATATAGTTTCTTGAAGTGAAAAACATAGATCTTCAGGAGAATATCCTTCTTTTAATAAACTACTTGTTCTTTCTTCCATATAACTAAGTATTCCTGAAAAACTGACATCCATTCCTTTCACACAATATGGCAAAGGTATGTATTTTTGTCCTTTTTTAGCCAGTTGTTCTATATTATAGCCTGGACTTGGATCGTTAGAGATTTTTAAAACTCGGGCAAATCTATCTAAACAATTTCCTACAGCAATATCTATAGTCTCTCCAAATATCCTGTATCTTTTTCTAGCGTAAGCTATAATCTGTGTATTACCTCCGCTCACATATAATACTGTCGGATTTTTTGCGTTTGTTATTAATCTACCCATTTCAATATCTTTAATAAATTAAGTATAAAAAATATATTACTTTAAATATCTATGATAACAAAATAAATATAAATATAAAAGGATACGACCAATACAGTGATTTACACCTAAAATTGGTTTATTCCATAACTGTGCAACTGTTCTAGCTACAATAGCAACTGTAGCTAGCGGTGCACCCATTCCAGGACCTTTTGTATAACACACAACATCAATGTCTTCACCAGATATCTACGAAACAAATCATCCAAATCAAATTTGGTTCGTCTTAAATATTCATAACATACTTTTGCCTCTTCCAAGGCTTTTTGAAGAACACTTAATATATGTTGTCTATGATGTTCAGCAGTTTCTTTAGGCATAAATCCTTCTCCTGGAGGTGTAATAAATGTAACTCTTGGATTAGATAAAACAACACCATCTTTAATGATTCCTACACCTAATTTATTGGCACTGCCTTCAAATCCAATAGCTATTACCATTTTTAAATTATAAATACTGATAAATATTCAGATTATAGTATATATTTTTTAAATAAGTTGGGTTAGCTTAACGTAGTGAAGTTAGCAACACAGCAATAGGTTAAAATATAAGACCACAGACCAATTTTAGTTGTTCTTCTTCTAAAGAAGAAGAATGGAACAATGACTCCAGAAATATCCAATTTGCGATCCAATCCAGATATGGCTTTTTTTTTCTTTTTTTTTTTCCTATTTTTGGCCACTTGTCTATTACGACATTCAGCCAGCTTATTTCTTGTTATTTAATTAGCGTTTAAAATTGGACAAATACAGACTCACACACACATTTAACACCCATGTCCGAGGCCGGAATCGAACCGGCGACCTTGCGTCTACTAGAATGCGGCGCAATCATTTCGACCACAAGGCCGACTCGATCCAATCCAGATATGGCTTCTTATTACCACAAATTAAAAGAGAAGAAGGATCGAGTAACCATCCGGCCGGATAGCCCTGGCAGCTGTGGCCATTAAACTAATATACTACTGTAACCTGTACGTTTGTTTACTTCTTATCTGCTTCTTATGGTATGGTTTACTTTTTAAAATATTTTAATTATTCTAACTTTGTTCTAACTAGTTTTTATTTTCTGTAAGATGATTTACGAAGCATGTAAGTAATATTAATTGCAATTAAATCTATAATTTTTAATACAATTTATTAAATTAACAGTAGCACTGATTGCTGTATCTGCATTATGGGGCATCACAAATCCTTTAATAAAGAAAAATTCTTCAGATATTACTAAAATCCAATCCGATTCACATATTAAGCAGTTTTTACTGGAAATTAAATACTTATTAACAAACATAAAGGTACAGGAGAATGTATTTTTATTTAGTAACTTATTAATTACTTATTTTTTAGTATATTATGCCTATGACTTGTAATCAGATTGGATCAGTAATATATTTTATTACCTTGCAACATGTTGATCTCACATTATCTGTACCTATAGCGAATTCTTTAACATTCTTCTTTACAGCTTTAACGGGATTTTTTCTAAAGGAAACATTACCTTCAAAAAGTAAGTAATTAATTGTTTCTAAACATTTCAATCAAATTATTTTGTTCTTTATTTTTAGAAACTATTATTGGTATGGTATTTATATTAATTGGTACACTATTTTGTTGTTATGATAAATATTTATTAAAAGAAGAAAGAGTAGAATAAAGGTTTATATACTATAAGAGCTCAGGAGCTCAGACGCACTGACGACCAGATCCATTTAATGGAATTACTGAGTGATTGATTTTTTTATCATTTGATTTAATGGCCTGGAGGTTGGCTGGTCCCTGCGACCTGGTCATCAGTGCGTTTGAGCTTTAACTTCTATATTCATCTGTGATAATATGTATTATAAAATAAACAACTTTTTATATATTATTTATTGTTTATTAATTTCAAATACTAATTTAAATGCATATATTTTCTATAAATTAATACTACAAACATATCTAAAATATAATATTTAATTATTTACAGCTATATCTACTAAGTAGCATCCTACCTTTTGTATAAACATACAAAACAAAATAAGAACATTTTTTAAAGAGATATTGTTTATTATCAGGAAAGATTCTTATTTTGTTTTTGTCATTTAAATCTATAAATATTTTTATTTTAGTTTTGAATATAATGATAGAGAAAATGGCACATTTTGCTAAAGGGATATCTTAAACGAAACATGGTTAACCAGCAGTCTTCTCAAGATATAAATATAGTAATCTTTTATATAAACAATTGTGGTTTACCATCTTTTTAATTACATCGTTTTAACTTCCCATTTATGATTACTTTTATCACATATCTTTGATAACCATAACATACTTTACAAACGTTTTTATCCTTTAAATTATAAATTTATTTGTACAATTTCATAATAAGATTTATAAACTACTATACTACGCTTTGCATGCTATAGTTATCATTAATCATGAACTTATTCTGTGTGTCTAAAATTACTAATAAATAGATTAATATATATCTAATGACATACATCTAAATTCTTGGACAAAGTCACACTTGTACTACATCAAGATAATTATGTTTCATCTTTTGTTACTATAATATGTATTTGAAAAATATATAAGGCTCTATTTTGATTTAGAATTTTATTTTATATATATTTTATATATTTATTTTATATTTTCTCAAAAATTTGGTGTGATACTGATTATATCTATTTCTTTTGAAGATATTAGTTTGTTTAAGATTAATCATGACTAGTTAAGGAATCGATTTAACCCAAACAAATCTATATCAAAACAATACCGTAAATAAAATTAAATCTAACTCTCTTATGGTACCTTTGTAGCTAGGACTGTTTTATTCAGTAGCATTTCGTTTTGGGTACTGATCATTTCGATTTTCGTTCTGAGCTCTTCAATTTCTGACACCAACTTATTGATGACTTGTTCTTGAACTGCTGGATCGTAGGTTTGTTCAGTTACGTTTGGTTTTGGTGTGGTGGAAGTCGTGGAGGAAGTATTTTCTGTAGTACTGCTTGGTGTTGGGTCTGTTACTATTAAGTTATGAGGTATAATAGTGACAGGAGGATCGTCCCGTCTAGGCTGTCTTATAACAGCGGAATCATCATCTAAAATGAAATTAAAAGTATATATTAAGTAATATCAGCGTGTCATCTAGTAATGTAATGTTTTAGTTTTTATCACACCCAAACTTTCGTTCATAGTTTAAAATAAAAAAGTGCTATTTATTTTAAAATAGCTCTAATCTATACAAAACTCAATGCTGATTAACTTATAAACGCACAGCCGAAATCGCTTGGTCTAGAAGCACGAAATTTGGTACAAAGATTGCTTGAGTTGCTAACAATGGATGGGGATACGCACGATTTACAATAACGTGCGGAACCATCTGAATTTGTAATCTTGCGTATACATGCGTTGAGATCGCACTGTGACTGCGATAAAAAGTTGCGAGCAGCAGTTGCGGGAATGGTTAAAATCTCGTTTCGGGATTTTAATTATATTCAACAATTTGGCGAATCATTTGCAAAAGAAGAGGGAAGGTATAGGTGAATGACTTACTAAAAAAGAAATGAATTTGATGTATTTCAATATCTTTTGGAAGATACTTCTTTTCACAAGGCCCTTTGTAAATTGCGATGTAGAATGTCGAATGTTTAGGAGGGGGCTTAATCACTGCGACATTACAGATCTATTGTGTATTCCCCTTTCTTGAGTTAATACCAAAGTTTATGGCACGAACGGTTGTCATCTCAGCGCACTCAGTGATAAGGTGTTCTGGTGTTTCTCAATTTTCCCCACAGAATCTGCCTTCGCCGTTGTTGCTTCAACCTACTGAGGTGTTCGTCGAGGAGACAGTGTCTGTTAGAAATCCCGTGACAATCCGAAGATTGTTCCTTCTTAAATCAAGGAAAATCTTTGATTTTTTCTCGGTCGTAAGTTCTGAGGAACTTGTTCGAATGTCTTAGACCGTAGGATGATTCCCATTCCAAGTTACGGATGGAGTCCTCCAGGTTCTTCAGCTCCGCTTTAAGCTGGTTTCCGCTTGGAAAGCAGAACGGTTCTGATACAGTTATTGGAGTGTTCACTCCTTTTCTAGCTAGATCGTTTGCTTTTTCATTGCCTTCTATCCCTTGGTGAGCGGGCATCCAGAGTAGGAAGACTTTATTTACCTAATTTGTTCAGCTTCTCTAGGCATCCTTTGGCCAACTTCGAATTGATGGTTACTGAGTTGATTGCTTTTAGTGTTGCTTGGCTGAAGATAGATATTTCCTGTTTTCGATAGTTCCTATCTAAGATAAATTTTACGCATCTTTCTATAGCGTAGGTTTCTGCCTGAAGTATGCTGGAGTAGGTGCCCATTGGTTCAGAGTATTTAGTTTTCGGCCCAAATACACCTATCCCTGTCCCCGCTTTGGTTTTGGAAGCGTCAGTATATCACGTTATGGTATGGTCTTTTACATGCTGAGCAAACGTTTCTCTCTTCCAATCCTTTTTATTGCTCAATACACAATACAGTGAGGTGTTTCTCAAAGTTGTAAATTCTTGCTGCAGTGCTGAATCCGTTAATGACTATTCTAATCATTCGCATAACTACCGACGACAATCTGCAGTGGTGTTAGGTCTAGGATGACCTCCATTGCTGCTGTTGGGCATTATTATATTCAACTTCTTAAAACGACGAATCATTTGCAAAAGAAGAGGGAAAGTATAGCTAAATGAGTTACTAAAAAGAAATGAATTTGATATGTATTTCAACATCTTTGGGAAGGTACTTTTCTTTTCACAAGGACCTTTGTAAATTGCGATAGTACCGTATGATCGAATAAAAACGGCGTCAGCGATGGCTATGAAATGAAGATCGCTGTCATTTTATATGTAAAATGATATGGGAAACGTCATCGATCGTCACTTCTAAGCCAACTGGACGCCGTTTTTTTTTCGATCATATGGTACGTGATAGTTCCGGCCGATCGCATAAATATTTCCGCTCGCGTACTAATTCAATTAGCTTTTCCGTATCCATTTTTATTTTCATCGCATGTTGACCCATGCACTATGCGGCCAGCCTAAGAGGTGATTTTTGGAAATTTAACCCCTAAGAGGGTGAAATTTGAGATGAAAGTTTGTGTAAAAAATTATTAAAATCTGTTCTGGCAGTATGAAATGTTGCACAGAGGTTCTTTAAGTAACGTAATTGAGCACTAAGAAACGATTTTTAGAAATGAAAATCATCCCCCAAGTGGGTGAAATTAGAATAAAAGTTTGTACAAAAATTTGTGAAAATCTGGTTCTAGCAGTATGAAATTTTGCACAGAGGTTCTAAAAGTGACGTAATTTAAGAAGCGGTTTTTAGAAATTCGTACCTTTGAATGAGTGAAATTAGGATTGAAAGTTTTATAAAAAAAATCTGTTCTAGGAGTTTAAAATTTTGCACAGACATATTTTTTTTAAGTGACGTAATTGTACATACACTAAAAAGTGATTTTTAGAAATTCATACTAGGAGATGAATTTTTTTACAAAAAATTGTTAAAAGTAGTTCTAGGAGTATAAAATCTGGCACAAAGGTTCCTTAAGTGATACAAAGAATCGATTCTTGGTAAATAATCCCAAAAAATTAGTGGTGAAAGTTTGTATATCAAATTTTAGAAATATGTTCTAGGAGTATGAATTTTTGCCCAAAAGCTCCGTAAGTAACGCAACTGAGCTCTATATAGTGATTCTTAGAAATTCATCCTACGTAGGAGGATAAAATTAGGGACGAATGTCAGAAATTAAATTTTAAACCTAAACTAAATCATAAAGGGAATGTAAAGATTTGAACTTCACGCGGACGATGTGGAGGAAAAAAGTGAGTCTACTATTATTGTTACGTTCGGTAATAATCGAGCGCCTATACAGGGTGTCCCAGAAATAAGTGCAAATATTTTAACTGGTAGTATAGTTCAATCCCAGAAACACGCCTATGAGGTTTTTTTCGCGAAAAAAAAAATTTGAAAATTTGAAATTTTTTTGTTTTTTTTTAGTTTTTAGTTAAAAAACATAATTTCTTGATAATATGAAAACATAGCTATTTGATTAAATTTACAAAAAAGAAAATCCAGAAAAGATCCAGTGGTTCTCAAAATTTTAGCAAAAAATATTTTTTTTGGAAATTTTCAAAGTAAAATAACTCCGTTATTTTGGACTTATTTGAAAAACGATAAAGAGAAAATATGTTTCTTTTATCGAGATCTACCACCCCTTAAAATATTTGCACTTATTTCTGGGACACCCTGTATAAACTAAGTTTAGATTAAAATTAAAAAAAATATGTGCTTACCGGTTAAACGATCAATTGTGTGATACGGATTGGTGTTCCTCATTTCGACAACAGGATCACTGGAGTACATTTTCGGTTGTATCTGATTGGGCGTTTCGAGATCACCATTCGGAGGCAGAATATGCGAATCATACTCTGGTGGATTATAAACTGGTAGTAAAGGTACAGGCGATGGCGAGATTGGCTCAGGAACATATCCTGTTAAAAAGTTTTAATTCACTATATAGTCTTTACGCACCAGTATTCAAAAATAGACTACAGCCTATTCAGTACCAGCCGGATAACTTAAGGTTTTTCTATGAATTCACGTTTTAACCTAACTGTAATGTTATTAATACTCGCATGTATAGGGAAATAGGCGCAGTCGTCAATGAACCCAATGATACGTGGACTTCCTAAAAGACACGAAGTTAACCATTTAGCCAGTTGGTACTGAATGCGTAGAAGAGAAAATTCCCTTGTGCGCAAGCTTTCGGTTCTTGCGCACCATTCTAGGACAGTTCAAAAGCAATAATAAGAAAATTAATTGTAAGTAAGTTATCATATATAGTAATATTTTAGTCATAGAAAGAAATTATATATTTTAATATCTTATTTTACCTAAGAAAGCGTTTGGTTTGGATGTTACTGGTTGTTCGCTAAGGGGAGGACAATGCGACACCCCGTATATTTTGGCGTGGTTGCTTTCCATGATGGACGTTATTTCCGACAGAGCAGCATCACACAAGATCGGATTATCTATATAAAATTAGTTAATAAAAAAAATATAAACAAAATCAAATTACAGTATACAAAGATATCGTAAAATGTCTCATTTACCTTGTAAATAGATTTTGATTACATCATAAACTTCATGTATGTGGTCGAGCCTACATCGAGTTTTAGTCACTAACTCTCTTCCAAGAGCAGTGATTTGATTGCTGGAAAGATCGGCGTTGCATAGTACTGGAAGTCCATGGAAATCGTGCGCTAAGATGGTTAAATAGTTGTGGCTGGCTTTCAGTTCACGTAGTCTTGGAAGATACGTCTGAATAAAAGCAGAAAAAAGGTCCTTAAAAACTATTTCTAAGATTTATCCAAATTAAAATTTTTGTTTATATTGGAAATTCTTCCGTTCATTGTAATTTTATTTGTCTATTTACAAGTTAAGGCCTTGGAGTGTTTCCTTTGTTTACATTTTAGAGTCTTATATTACATGATTTTTTTGTGAAAAATCTGTGCCTGAACGGTTGTGATACTTGATCTTTTTATCAAAGAAAGACACACATTTACAACAAGAATACAAACATGACCTTTTACAGTTAGTATTTTTGCATCATATATGATCTGAGATATATTGATATATTGTCCTGTTTATTTTTTCTATATAATATTTTACGACATCATGTCGTTTAACTTGTATCAAGACTTCTACGCCAATGACGCCGTCAAATCGTGAAAAATGTATTATATTAATCTGTGGCCGAGTCAAACTGTAAATAAACACATGTTGTTTACATTTTGCTTGTATATTTTGGTTCAAAACAAATCAATGTGTATGCTTTCCGCGTACCTTACTCATTTCTTCCAATGTTGTCAGTTGATTATGCGATATATCCAACAACCTAAGCTGATCCAGATTGATGAAATCATCAGGCGATATTCTTCTGAGTTTGTTATAACTCAAGTCCAATCTTAAGAGTTCTGAAAGACCACTCAGTGCTGAATTTAATGTTTCCAGATAATTGTGATGAAGTTTTAATTTCTTCAGCTTTATATTTGACTCCACCAAGTTCTGTAAATGAGATATGTTCAGTCAAGAATATAATAATCTTGTATTATTGTTACTTACCGCAGCTGACCCTGTTAATTGACTGATTTGATTGTAAGACAAGTCTAACTCCTTTAGTCTTTGTAGGCCTGTGATTTCTTGGAAGGAGAATTCTGACAGTAAGTTGTACGATATATTTAAAGCTTCTAAACTTTTTAATGGATGTAGGGAATTATTCAGTGAGGTGATTTGATTATGGCTTATGGAGAGAGTTCCTAGATGGTCCAATTCTATGAAATTCTCAGGTGTTATCTAAAATAACAGAAAAATCACAATAAACAACAAATTATATATTTCATATCAATTAAACTTTTAGTTACGTAAACAATAGGGCGCGATTTTTAAATTCATTGTTGCCAACCATGGAGATGTATTCAGCGCCGGGCTGACTAAGGGGAATATGGTGGTATTTAAATTTCGCGTTGGGGATACAGGTGGTAGCTCTGCTGTAAAAAATGTAAAGTTGCCGCATTTAATTATTTATTTCCTGACATTGTCATTCGTTTTGACACTTTAGTTTTGTATTACCCGTTTTTGGTTTAAATAAATAGTTTTGTGATACTTTACGTACTACGTACAAGCTTAATAGCCGTAAAAAACTCATCGCAACTTTGTTAGAATATTTTGAACGTGAAAGCGGTAGTAATGGCCCTTTATGTCCCTTAAGTGCTGTTAAGAAGGTGAGTTTTGTTGATGTAAATAATAACTGTTTATATATTTGTAATTCCAGAAAAATAAATTAATTACAGAATTAATTTATTTTTGTTTCCTAAAATATTTTGATAAAAGAAAATATATAAAAGTGGACAACGCTGGGCCGGCCAAGCTTAATCACGTGACTAAAAGTTTATTTGGTATGACCTTGTAAATAATATCTATAGCTTTAAAATCTAAACCTTTAAAGGTTCAAATTGAAAATTTGAATTAGTTAATAAGAATAATACATTATTTACACTTACCGTACGAATAACATTTCCATCTAACATAAGGTGTGACAATTCTGCCCTTGGTATAGCTAAAGCCCCATCCAGTGATTCAATCTTATTGTTATACAAAAACAATATATCCAGCGATCTGTAGTTTTTTATTTGACTAGGAATTTTCGTTAGCCTTTAAATAAAATATTTTATATAATTTTTGAACAAATATTCAATAAGGATAATAGTACCCATTTCCAGAGGCATATATCACTTGTATGACAGGCGCTTCAAAAGGCAACTGTCCTTCTAGGTCCTCCAGTTCATTTTCATTTAGGAATAACCACCGTAGATTTCTTAGTTCTGTTGGAATACATAAAATATTACAAAAAACAACATTTAATGTATACGGGGTTAACATAAGTAATGGTAAAGTCTCAGAGAAATAAGTAAACCTAGAGAAGCGACTTAAAGTCTATCCACACATGTCATTACCGTCTCGTGCAGCCATCTTCGCAGATTGCAAAGAAACTCGTAAAGGCACTCGGTTCCACGGAGGTCGATTCTAGACTAGTGTGGGGTTGTGTGGGTGCTCCAGACACATTGAATGAGCGTAGCAATGTTACGTTAGCCTGGGTACCAGGGCACGTGTGTGACGTGTATCACAAGGATTAACAAAAAGGCACATGAAATGGGCAAACAAGACTCATCAATGCCATTTATAGGCCCAGAAACCTTCAGCTTGCATTACAAATTCAGTGACAAGAATGGCCACAAAATGGTTTGTAGCCAATAAATCTAGAATGGTGTAGAAATTTACCAGTGCAAGGACAAGCTAAATAGTTCAAGGTAGAACATTTGCCAAAACTCGCTGCAGACCTGATAAGCAAAAACAGAAAGACAGTCTGTGTAGTGGGTCTACTAACAGTTCATTGTAAGCTTAAGGTATCTAAAGCTGATGGGATTGAAGTACGAAGCCATGTGCAGATTTTGTCAATCTGAAGAAGAAACGACAAAACCCATTTTATGCTAGTGCGACAGCCTAGCAAATGTGCGGTTCTTTGTACTACTGTGCAACTGTACCACTGTGTTTGTGTTGTACTGTAAGTACAAACTACATTAGCAAAGAGCTATATGGAGGGTTAAGACACAAGTTGCTAGACTTTTAGAAAACAATAGGACTGGAGAATGTAACCTAAGCATCAGAAAAGGACCACAGTAGATCTGAAAAGGTGTCAATCTAATCTAATCTAACCGTCTCAAACTCATTCAGTTAACATTTGTAGTATTATAACTGAAGTAGTTGTGGTTTTCTCTGAAAATTTTCGAAACCAGTAATTTTACAGAGGACGAATTAACATGATTGCTGTAGCTCTTTCTGGGTAAGAAGATAACTCGAACCTGAAAGAGGAAGTGAATATATACTCTAAGGTAAAAGTAAGAGTTGTCTGAAAAGGGAAATTGTGACAGAATCAGTGGCGGACTGGTCAGATAGTCAGGGTGACGATTGCCAGGTGGGACCGGCCCCCCTATTTTCCCAGCCAGCTTGGGCTCTCCCAGGCAGCACGGGCCCCCCAGCCTTCGCGGGCCTCCCTTTTTTAGATCCTACATATAAAATAGTGTTGATTCTTAATTAATTAATCATTATTTCTTCTTAAGTAGAAATGAAAGAGAAAAATGCGACTATATTATTCTGAGGTTATCCCGCAAAGTTTTTTTTTGGATTAACAATATTTACATTTGCATTGCATAACGGGTAGTTCCCTGATTTCGGGCACTAACAACAAATCAATAGCGAAAAATTCTCCTAAAGATAAGGCAAAAAATACGCAAAAAATCCACCCGAGCCCCTCCTCACAATGCCACACCATTAGCACTGCCATTAAGATATCGTAGACCGGATAAAACTTGCGTTGCCGAACATATTGTTGATAAAGAACATTATTGTTGATAAATAACAGTATAGATCTTAATAATTTAAAATTAATTAAACAAGTCTCAAATTACAGGCAATTAGATGCATATGAAATCATCAGAATTAATAAATGTAAAGATAGTATGAACAGAGACAACGGTCCAATTCCTTCAAGTTCTTTGTTCCTACTACCACAGAATATCTAGCTACGCAACAGAAAAATACTCGAAATGAAAGAGCTAAAATTGCACAAATAGAATACTAGATGGCGCGACAATATCATAATCAGAATATAATTAGAAATTTTGAACTTTCGGTTCTGGATCGACGGCTCGTCGACTGCCTTGTAGCTCGGCTAAATATGCACAGTTGCCGGATTCAACAAGACTTGAATTGGCATCCCATTCTTTTTACTGTGTATAGTGCAGTATGTGTTTCTTTCTATTCTTCTTTTCTTGTCAGATACACTTATATTAATTATTCCTTTGGCTATTAAAATAGTTTTAAGTATATTATTACAAAACATATACATTTTTAATATACACTACCTTATAATGTTAACTAAGAAAATACCTTTAATTACCTTTAAAATTAATAATATACAGGGCGATTGATAGTAATATTTATTAATGCTGGAACGTTAGTAATGAAATATAAGTTTAATAATAATGGAAATAATTTATTAAAATGCAGTACAAAAAATGTTAACTAACTAAAAAATACTATAATAACAAATTTCTTCCGTTTGCCACATTATTTATATAGACCTAGGTAGATTTTAAAAAATGACAGATACAATTAATAATATATTAGTTCGGCATAAAAGTTGCTGTAACTACATCGAACAATAAATTAAAATTCGTAGAATAAATTAAAATTATTAATTAAACAAATCTTTATAAAGAAACGCAAGTATACCAAATTTGGACCCAATCGAACTCCAGGAAATAATATCATAATAGTGTACTATATTATGGTACCACTCGATATGCTTTAATGTACCATAATATTGCAATGTCACCGAAGATTCGTAGTATACCAAATTTAAGAACAATCGAACGCCATGAAATGGTATCGTAATATGGTACTACATTAAGGTACCACTTTATATACATCATAGTTCAATCATATTTCAATGTAACCGAAGATACGTAGTATACCAAGTTTGAGCCCAATCGAACGCCAGGAAATGGTATCGTAATATGGTACTATATTAAGATACCACTTTATATGCATCATAGTACCATCATATTACAATGTTACCGAAAATACGTAGTATCCCAAGTTTAAGCCCAATCGAACGCCATGTACGTAATATGTACTATATTATGGTACCGGTGTCTCACTTCATGGTACCATTTCAAATGACTGAAAAATATATGTTTAATTTTTTAAATATAAACATAGCCATATATCCTAAACAACTTGACAATATTTTTATGAATTTGTAAATCAATCCATATTTACAGTAGCGGATTTTGTTCATAAAAGGACAAATTTGTCTGACAACTAAATGTTGGGACAAGTATTTTTAAATAATTAATATCATAGGCGGCTTTGCTATAAACGTCACAAATGTCGCAAACTGTTTACTTCAGCATTGACAGCTTGTAAGTGACTCGATACTTTGAGTAGTGAGGCTTACTGTAAGTAATTTTAATTTTATTAATTTTCAATTTTGTTAATTTAATCCAAAGTAATGGTCCGTGGAAAAACTACAAATCAAAAACTACGCGAAATTATCATTCGTCAATACAGTACTGGAAAAACAATTCGAAAAATCTCTGATGATTTAAGTATTCCAAAAACCACGGTCTTTAATATAATAAAAAAATACGGCGAATCTGCCAATGTGGACGTTAGAGGTAAAAGTTCGGGAAGGCCAAAAGTTTGTCTCTCAGAGAGATTTACGAAATTTAGTAAAAATTTGCAAGTCTGCGAGAAGAAGTATTCTTCGCGAACTAACAGATAAATGGAATACTGTAACTGATTTAAATATATCAAGGGAATGTTGCCGAAAATATATCCACAAATGCGGTCTGGGGTTTTACAAGGTAAACTTTATTTTGTGTGGATACTCAATTACCTGAAGATTATTGATACAAATTCTTATTTAGGCCAAAGGAAAACCGCTATTGACAGAAATTCAAAAGAAAAATCGCTACAATTGGGCAAAATCTAAATTATCGTGGACACAAAATGATTGGAACAAGGTCATATTTAGCGATGAGTCTAAATTTGATGTTTGCGTTGGAGATCATCGAAAACGAATAATACGAAATAAAGCAGAAGCCTTTCATAAAGATTGCTTAAAGAGGGTTGTTAAATTTCCTAAGGGGATCATGGTTTGGGGTTGCATGTCAGCAAGAGGTTTGGGTAAATTAAATTTTATAGATGGCACTGTTAACCTCACTTTTGCCTAGTGTTCAAGAATTGTTTCCAAACGAAGACTATATTTTCCAACAAGATGGAGCATCGTGCCATTCAGCAAGATCAACTAAAAATTGGTTCGGTAATAATAATATAAAAGTTCTATCCGATCCGTCAAGTAGTCCGGACCTCAATGTTATAGAAACTGTGTGGCATAAAATGAAGCAATATTTAAGAAACCACCCTCAACGAACAATTTTTGATTTGCGGACAAAACTGCAGGAAATTTGGGAAAATTTTTCTCCTCAAATGTGTGTGTCCTCAAAAATCTTTGGTAAATACAATGCCATTAAGAGTTCAGGCAGTTGTTAAGGCGAAAGGTGATATAACTCCGTATTAAACAAATTTCTTGTTGTGCTGTCCCAATATATAGTTGTCAGCAAATTTGGCTTGATTTTGGCAAAATAAGCTATTATCAAAAGTGATTTGTTTGCAATGTTATAAAAATATAGTAAAATTGTCTAGATCATATTGTAATGTTTGAATTTAGAATAATAAACAAAATAAATTGAGTCGTTTTAACAAATTACTATTTTTATTGCAAAAATAGACCTTGTCCCAACATATAGTTGTTAGGGCTCGTATATTATAGTACCAGTTGATATGCTTCATGGTACCATAATAATGCAATATCATCAAAAATACGCAAGTATATATCAAATATGAGCTCAATCGAACGTCAGGAAATGGTATTGAAATATGGTACTATTTTAAGGTACCACTTTATATGCATCATAGTACCATCATATTACAATGTAACCGAAGATACGTAGTATACCAAGTTTAAGCCCAATCGAACGCCAGGAAATGGTATCGTAATATGGTACCTCTTATTATGCTGCATGGTACCATAATATTACAATATCACCGAAGATAAGTAGGTAGTATCCCAAATTTAAGCCCAATCGAACGCCATGTACATAATATGGTACTATATTATAGTACCAGTTGATATGCTTCATGGTACCATAATAATGCAATATCATCAAAAATACGCAAGTATATATCAAATATGAGCTCAATCGAACGTCAGGAAATGGTATTGAAATATGGTACTATTTTAAGGTACCACTTTATATGCATCATAGTATCATCATATTACAATGTTACCGAAAATACGTAGTATACCAAGTTTAAGCCCTATTGCTGCCATGTACCTAATATTGCTATGTCATCAAATATGGTACTATAGAAGGTACCACTTTATATGCTCATGGTATATCATGGTACCATGATATTACAATGTCACTGAAGATATAGTATATCAAGTTTAAGCCCAATCGAAAGCCATGTATCGTAATATGGTACTATATTATGGTATCACTTGATATGCTTCATGGTACCATAATATTGTAATGTCATGAAAAATAGTATATATCAAATATCGTATTATACCGAAAAAAAACGGCATCCAGTTGGCTGGGAAAGGACGATCGATGACATTTCCCATATAAATTTATATATAAAATGACAGCGATATTCATTTCATAGCCATCGCTAACGCCGTTTTTTCCCGATTATACGATATGAACTTGGTATGAACACAATCGGACGTCAGGAAGTGGTATCATAATAGTAGAACAATACTTATTATATTGTCGCCGAATTACAATGAAAATTCAGGATTCAATTATACAATCAAACGTCAGGAAGTGATTGTAATTTAGCTCATAAGATTTAATTCCAACTAACATGGCAAACTGAAAAAAACAGCTCTGATCTACTTTAATATGTTTAAATGATGTAGCAAATTTGAAGGCAGGCTTTATCAGGAAGTATTACGATATGAATTACACAATGGCAACACTGCACAAAATTCTTTTAAATTTTGTTTGTAGAAAACTGTTTTCTTTTAAATTTATTGCCCTCTATTATATAGTAGCGAAACTACCGCATCAAAATATCTGATTTGGAGACAGGCTTTAAAAGCCTGTCTCCTTTTGCTACCTACAATTTTATACATGTAACGAGGCTTCTGTTGCGTAGCTAGATATTCTGTGCTACTACTCTAGTGGCGGAAATCTAACTGTTACGCTCAGTAGGCTCGGTTTGTTAGATTTTGCCACGCTCACTCGGTGCCCACTGAGCGAGTATATAAACGCTCAACTTGTAGATTGTACTTTAGTTTATAATCATCTGCTGATGATGCTAACATGGTTAGCGAAACGCGCGTCCAGTGTGAAAGTAAAAGTGTTTTGGTGTATTGTGGTGATTTAGTGTTTTTATTTTGCTGTGTAACACCAAAGGTTCCAACCCTCAACTGTAATTTTGTAAAATGACTGAAAACAGTCGTCTTTTTGCAAAAGTGTACAGAAAATATCATAATATGCCATATAATTCTGTTTAGGCTTTATGCAAAGTGACTGAAAATAGATAGGCTTTTTGTAAAATATCCTTCTTTTGTGTAAAAAGCCGGCGTTTTATAATATACCTAGTCTTTTTGCAAAAAGCCGTATTATTCTATACGCCTGCGACATATACGTACTCCTTAGTAATATAGAACTCCACTTGAAAAGACAAGATAATAATTATTGGAGAATTAATTAATTAATTATTTTTGTGTAAAAACAACAAAATTCTTATGGAAAGACGTCAGTCAGAAGAACAAAAAATCTGTTTGAATCAGTGATGAACTGAAACGAGATGGTAAAATCGGAGCTGGGCGTGTATGAACATGGCCGTTGAAATTAAAGGCAATAATATATTTTTTATCGGAACAAAGACTTTTTGACAGAAGGAAACTGAGACGTGACTGATATGTGTAGATAAACCTTTACACTATTCATTTGAGTCTCTTGAAAGGCACATTAATTATAAAAATATTTAGTTATTGACTTAATATCTAATAAATCTGTTACAAATTTTGATAAAACTTACCTAATAACGAATCGTTCAAATGGTATATTCGATTCCTAGCTAGGTGTAACTTGTCAATCTGCGGCGGGAACGAATTTCGATCTATTCTGGAGATTTGGTTATCGGCAAGCGCGACGCATTTCACATCTAATAGATCCTAGAAATTAAAAAGATATATATATTCCTCTGCTACAGAGACTACAATAGAAAATAAAGAAAAACGATATTATACCGGGTGCGTCTCAAAAGTGGCTCATCTCTATAACATTTTTATTTTTTTAGATAAAAAAACGAAATTTGGTATGTTAGTATATGACATAAATTAGGATTGATTGACGTATTCAATTGTTTTTGGTCACTTCCTGTTTCACCGGAAATGACTAGAACTTTTGATTTTTAAATGACACCCTGGGTATTTTTTTTTACTTTATTCGGTATAAAATGACACTCTGAATTCAATGATTGAATAAAACTTTTGCATATAGTTTATTGTTTATTTGAAATTATAACATGCGGTTCATAACGACAATTTGTGCGCGAAATACCAAGTGTTTGATACCAAATTGTTAGTCAAAAATTCTTTATCCAATTATGCTAATGAGCCATTCTTGTTCCATTTGAAAAAATCGAGATATGATTAAAAATACGATTTGGGCATCTTTTAACCGGCCAGGACAAGACACGAAAAACATTAGGCAATCAAATCCTAATTTTTCCAAGGCTTCTTGACAAAGTCCTTGATTAAAAGTTAGTGTTTTTAATTAGTCATGGCACTTTAGATTGAAATTTATAATGCGTTTTCTTAAATGTCAAAAAATTGTCAAAAGTTGACATATGATATATCATTCTATTCAGAGTATCATTTTCTATCGAATAGAGTAAAAATATACCAAGGGTGCCATTTAAAAATTAAAAGTTGTAGTAATTTCCGGTGAAACAAGAAGTAAACAAAACTAATTGAATACATCAACCAATCCTAATTTATGCCATATATCAATATACCAAATCTCGTTTTTTTTCTGAAAAAATAAAAAATTATAAGGGGTGAGCCGCTTTTGAGATGCACCCGGTATACGTCTTAATCTTAATATAATGCCCTGAATATCGTTAAAAACATCGACATCAAATAAAAAACATTAAAGCTCTACTTAAAAGAAATATAATATACAGGGCGTTTCATTTAAATGAACCAGGAATAAATAATTACTTTCTATTTTAACAATTTTTGAATTTGAACAAAGTAATTACAGATCAACTGTAGTTAATAGTAATATCACCGAACAGTAAATTCGTATTTTAATCAATATTTGAATAAATGCTGCAAAATACACCTTTTATATTTATCAATTTATTAGTCGGGAACTCTCAAAACAACTTTAATAATAACCTATGATTATGTAAAGTGATCAGGATGGAACCAAAAAAAATAATACACAGAGTGTTCCATTTGAAAAAAATCCATCCTCACCCACTCACTTTTTTGGTACAGCATGTACAAGTTAATATAGTGTCATCAAATACGTCCTAAGTAGTATCCTTGAGTATACAGTTTAGATCTGCAGTTAAACGAAACCTTATGTTCTTTATTATAAGAGCTATAAATGTCCGAGGCACTATTGAGGAACCCTGTATATTTATTAATTTATAGAAAATTCGAAAACTTCTTAAATTTCTTTTGTCACTATTAATAGAAACGTATGACTATGGAAATTTCTAGAGCTATTTGTCGGTAACAGAAAGATTAGAAAGCTTTTGAATATTAATTTCTAATCGATTATTAAAATTAGTTGTCGATTATGGAATACTCTTTTTCATAATCGCACACCTTCATTTATAACCATAGAGTTATTTATAACAGATGCCTAAAAATGACAGCGGAACAATTTAAGTCAATTAAAATATATTCGATATTTTTAGATATATGAATAAGTATACAGTTGGGATTGGAAACCTTTGGTATTACAACAACAAAATATAACACTAGTACAGTAAATATGTGGCTAATGTACAGGATGTTCCATTTTGGTTGAAACTATACGGTACTAATATCTCCGTTATTAGTGAAGGTATAGGAGAATGCGGTTTGCACAAATCTATCGACTTTGTCAAACGGAAGATGATGTAAACAAAATTTGGCACCCCCTTAGTTTTTGAGCTGTAGGGTCATCTGTTTGAACACTTTGTAATTTGTGACACCTTCCCTATCTGTTATTTTGAAAGATATCGAGAAGGTAAAAATTGTTTATTTTGTGGAACTTTCTACGTATATACATGCAGTGGGGTAAGCTGTTTTTCTAAGAAAAAAATATTTTTGAGATATGAACTAAAGTTATGGTTTTCAAATAGAACACCCTGTATATTTATAAATTACATGATCGGGCTTGCTATAAAATATAGAACAGTATTTATTTCCACGATCTAGTCTAAAATTTAAACGTTTTCATTAAAGGAACATTACTTACCCGAAAGGTATCTGTTGTTATTTCTTTTATTTTTGTCCTTCCCAGATCCAGTGTTTGGATGTAAGGCATCTTTTTCCATAAATGCCAAAATGGTAGCTTTCCCAAAGGAGTATCTGCCAAACTTAGATACTTTACTTTCGCCATGCCATCGAATGAATCTTCATTTAGTATACTGAAAAAAAAGAAAAAGTATTAATCTCAGACCGTATCTGACAAATATAAACAGAAGTACCATACTCACTATGCGCTATGATGTGGCTCGTCGATGCGATTCGTTAGTTTGGAAATTTATCCATTGTGTTCATGTTCATGATATTTTTTATGGTTCATCCAAAAAAAACCAACAAACCGCACAACCCACCAAATCGACGCATTGACGAACCTTATCAGCGCATACTGAGTATGGGGCTTTACTCAACAAAACGCAGGTTCCCAGTATGGGATTTTTGGAGTCACCAGAAATTTTACGTGATTCGTTTGGACAATATTAATCTTAAAAAGTTTCCTAACTCCCTGTTGATATTTTCTTTATTCAATTTACTACTGTCTAATTACAATTAAATGCACTTCAAAGAGATTAGAATAAATAAATTGGTCTTAATATGTATGTAAATAGAGATGTGTTTATGCGAAACGAATGCGATCGTCTAGACATGGGAAGAATAATAAATAGGCGTCTGTCAAAGATATGAATGAGTGGTGTGGAAGAATGAAGTTTATGCATGATATTATGCACTAATGCACCGTTGAACCGAATACGTTTAGCATTACTTTAACTTGAGTGACAAAACTTAATATGGATGATATACCTTTTTGATTATTAAAAAAATCTTGGCTTTAAAGGCTCGTTTACACGAATCAAGCCAATTGACCAAGTCACTTGAATTGAATTTGGATGAATGCAATATGACCGTCTAAACTCGACAAATCATGTCAATTGATCAAGCGAGCTGATTCAAGTCTCATTTGACTATTGTTTCTTATTTCTTTTGACGTTTAAGTGGTATTTTTAAAATGGCGGCAAGTAGTTGGTCCGATGAATATGAGGGGTCGAGGAAAAAACTTCAGAAACGGCAATTTCTTAATTTTAGGATTTTACAATATTATAATAGGTCTAGAATGTAGAATGAGTGAGAGGAGAGTCTCCATTTTCTCCACCTCTTTAACTTGTTCTGCAACCTGATACCGGTGTATCAGGTCTAAGAAGAGACCAAGTTAAAGTAACACCGTTGTAACCAAATCAAGTAAAAAACACCGTTGTCCTGTATCTATAATAGAGGATATGTCCCTCTTTCTCTATTGCCTCTTTGGATTTGAGGTCAATTCCTATTGTGAGGACCTGATCATAACCCTTCTCCCTCGAGTTAATGACTCGCCAACTCGATGTCATTACATTGAAGTTCTGACCCTGGATTCTCGGCGGAAAGACCGTGATGGCCGCCCCTTTAGGGATGTTTTCTCCCTTCACTGCAACCACTTCCAGCCCCTGCCAATTTTTAAGCTTACTCACCAATTCGCCGATTCTTGAGATACACAATCTATAAAGATCGTACCCACCCGAAAGTGTATCCTCGCAAAACGCAACTGACCCACATTTTGTAGATCATTGTGTTTCGATCCGATCGCCACTACTTCGTCCAGTATAGCCTCTTCTAGAGACGTTTGCTGGTCGGTGGTCAGAGGAACCTCTGGGAAATCCTTTGGCAGCAACGTCATTTTCACTTGTCCAGCAATAGCGGCAAAGCTGGTGATACGTCCCCGCTTGCATCCCGTTGTTGGACGGCTTTCCATCCTGGCTTTTTTCTCTCCCTGTCGGAGAAGAGGTGAGAGGTTCTGGCACCCTCTCTTGCCCTTTGATGAAGATGAAACAGGCTGTATCTTGGTTTCTTTACTCTCCCCTTTTGGGACGAGTGTTTTCGCTTTTGCTTCCTCTGGAGCAAGTTCTTCGTGGAGCAGTCGGAGGTATCTCCGTGCTTCTCTTCCGCTAAGACCTACTCCCAGATAACCGTCTAGCCCGCCTGGTTGACCCAGACCGGGTAGACGAAACGGTAGCTTGTGTCTCTTATTTGGTCTAGAGGTAGGCTCCCGACCCTTGCTGAAGAAGGTAGTAGCTTCTGTGCCACTTGTGGAGGATGATCTCAAGCAAGTGACAGCCGCCTTTCTTGTAGTTTCCTTTGGATTTACTCCCTTGGAACTTTCATCGGTAATGTTCCCAGTGTCGCTAGGAATAATCGGTCCACTTCTACAGAGCCCCGCATGCAGAATTAGGGGGTAAATACAATGGGGTGCCCCAAGGTGGAGACCAGTAAAGGCTAGTCTTCTATCTAGCTACGCATCCCTTTGACCTGGTCCCGCCATCTTAGGATCTAGGTTTTTTGTGAGGTTGTCTCCTCTTGGTCCGGGCGGTAAAGCCAAGACCCCCCCCCAAACTTTCTACCCGTGAGACATGACCACAGACAGTAGATGGTGCCTGGTCTGACGGACAGGATAGCCATGTCTGTCAGGCATCGTTATATGTCTTGGTGCAATTCCCTGGCCACGACACTACAGCCAGGGACAAGACAGTGAGATGCTTCTTAGACTGAGTCAAAGTGCTAGATTAGATTCCTCCAGCACCTGACAAGGAGATTCCCCACCAACGACAAGATCTTGCATTTCCCAGGAGAAGATTTAGGTCTAACTAGACCCTACAAATTGTATTAATTCTGCAGGACGATAAGTTGTTAAAAGCTATGATATATGCCCAGTAAAAATATAGAATATACGCAAAGAACCTGATTACCACCAGTCGTCCAATGCTCTCCTATAAAATTAATAAAATAGCGCTTACCATGTTTTTCCCTGGACCCTTCAATTCTGTATTATAACATTTATATTATTTTAGGTCCTCTGAATAGTGTATTTTAGTTTCTTAGTTTTGTGTTAATGTTTTTTTTTTTTTAAAAAAGAGGCGATTCAATGGAATATGATTTTTCAATTAACGAGGAAAAAAGTTCAAGATAACTATTTTTTGTTAAATCCTGGGACTGGAAATTTCGTCCGAGATTGAATACCCTACGTGTGTGTAACCGCCTTAGCGTAAACGAGCAACGAGTAAACGGGATAATTAATTGTTAATGCTGTGCGCATTCTTCTCGAAAATATCCATCCGTCGCCGTACGCAAAAAAAGACGATTAGAGGAAAGGAGGCGCTGAGAAAAAAGTAGGCAGCGCGCCGTAAATGCCGGAGCACGCGGCCGCTCGGGCATGGGCGCGATTTCTCTTGCGGTGGCGCCTGCGATGGTGGCGCCTCGCCGCGGCACAGACTTCCGACAGCCGGCGCCCTCGCCGCGTGCCCCGACGCAGGACTGGACTAGCCCCGCACGCCTTCTTCGCTCCAAGAATCGCGTTCACAACTTTTTTGCAATTCTCATTCTATTCTTCTTAACCCCTAGTGGCGCTAGTCTAGCATACCGCTATGCTAATTTTTATTCAGGGTGGTCCGAACTGTATTCTGTAAATTTTGGCAGCATATTCTGCACGTAAAAATAAGTAAAAAAAGTTCGTATAAATATATGTCCTAAAATGCTTAGTTTCAGAAATACGGGGTGTAGAAGTTTCATTTTTATTTCGATTTTTTTCTAAATAATTTCTAAAATAACGCCAATATGTGGATGAAAATTGGTGTCTGGGAGTTTTTTTACATAAAAAAATTAATTTTGATGTCAATATGACTCCCATTTGTAGGGGGCGCCACCTACATGTATTTAACTGTTTTGAAGAGTAATAACTTTTCGTCCGCACCTGTATAAAAGTACTGAGTGAAAAAATATACATTTCAGTGACTTTTAACGTAAAAAGGGTCTCTTGGTAAAAATCCCTACGAATAACCGTTCTCAAGATATTTAGAATGGAAATAGTCAATACATGTCATTATTGACAAAAAATGAACACGTTGAATAGATAGTTGTTTGACTGAAATAATAAATTCGGGAAATTTTTATTTTTTTAAATTAAAACAGTTTCTGTTGAACTCTTGGCACAAAAACATTTCAAATTTATGATTTCAGTTTAATAACTATTTAGTCAACGTGTTCAATTTATGTCAATGATGACAAGTATTGATAATTTCGATTCCAAATATCTCGAGAACTATTACTCGTAGCGATTTTTTCCAAGAGACATTTCTTACGTAAAAAATGTCGTAAATGTATATTTTTTTACTCGGGAGTTTTATACAGGTACGGACCAAAAGTTACTACTTTTCGTTAATAAATATGTAGGTGGCGCCCTCTACAAGTAGAAGTCATATTGACATCAAAATCAAATTTCTCATATCAAAAAACTTCCAGACACAAATTTTCATCCATATATTGACCTTAGTTCAGAAATTATTTAGACAAAATTGAAATAAAAATGAAACTTCTACACCCTGTATCTCCGACACTAAGCATTTTAGGACATACATTTATACGAAATTTTTTACTTATTTTTATCTGCAGAATATGCTAGCGAAGTTTCCAGAATAGAGTTCGGACCTCCCTGTATAAGTATACAAAAAATATATCTCTGCTTTGAACAAACAGCAGTTTTTGAAGCGTTTTCTAATCTTTAACTAAGTAAATAACGGTTTCACAGATATTAGCGGTTTTATATTAATTTCATATGGCATTTTCCACAGTAAATTTTTATCAGTCACCCAATGATTTTTTTCTCGTATTTACCGTTGAAAGAGCCATAATATGAAAAATACAGCGTGTATCTACGAAACTATTAAAAATTTTGAAATACTTTAAATACAAAAAATGTTTATTTTTAACTGTCCATAATAAAAAATAATATACAGGGTTGTTCCATTTAAAAGAAAACAAAGAAAAATTATTTTATATTTTTGAAAGTTTGGACTATAATTTTGAACACCCTGTATGATTTAAGATTACGATATTTATAGCAAAGTAGGTCTAGACCATCTAAAGTAAATACCTAATATAATTTTGAATTCAGTACAGTTCTCTTGTATTGGTAATAATTTTTTTAAGGAAGGTTGAAAAAAAAAATTTTTTTATTTATTTATTAATATCTCTGAAATTATCGAAATATATTTACTCATACCGTAGGATTATGTAAAGTGAACTCCTGAAAGGAAGCCAAAAATGCAATAATATACAGTTTTCCAATTAAAAAGAATCATCC